AATACATCCTACATTATGTCTTATCTCTGTTAATGGGTAGAATTGAGTGTTTTAAAAGATAATGCCATTGTTTCGAGCGGAATTGATATTTTCTGAAAAGATGTATTATCTTCTGTTTAGCTGCTTTATCACGAAACATGCATTACACTCTTACATTATTTTGTACATTGCAGATTACAGACAACGCTAAGATAATTTCAAAATCTTTATAATTCAATATGTCAAATTGATGGCTGAAAACTGCCCAAGTCAACATTCCACCGAAGCCAGTCTGTTCGAAATATTGGAAAAACGTTTGGTTTGTATTATAAACTTACGCGTATTTATATCAATATTCTAGAAGATCAGTTTACTGGAAGGGGTCAGTGGTGTTGCACAAAATCTGTACTTCAAGTCATCTGAGCCGCACCCGGTTATACTTTACATAATAGTACACATATCGTATTGTAAGAAAAAGAACGTACTGACATATTTATTATTTATACCCAAACATTTGGTAATTCTAAAGTTAACTTACCACAAGGGTACAGACAGATTAAAAGAATTGCCTGCAAAATCCGACACATCTTGATGATTTCCTATCTTTTAAACAGGTCAAAACACAACTTTCTGATCCACGAGGGAAAAGAATATCATAAATCAACAGTTATACGAGAATAATTGCGTTTGCAAAATTCTAAAGATCACAACTAAAACAGGATATTTGACAATATTTCACGTTGTGTTGCACAAGTTTTAACACAAGTTTTAAAATTTAACACGAGCAGACTGGTAAAACCTGCCACTAGCCACTCAAGACGGAATAAAACAATACGAATCGTCTAAATCAACAACGCAAACTTCCCAATGTTTCAGCAAACAATCTCGTGTTCGTTTAATGTGGGGTTATTTTTCACTTTGCTTCCTTAATGTGACGAAGCTCATTAGCGCGTTATCTGTGTCATCCTGCAGGCAACTTGTTAACTTATGACATACTCTATTAGGCATAATTTGATAGCTAAATTAAAAACGGTGAGTGTCATTCCAAATCGCAGCGTGGATTCAGACATACAGGATGCCATTACGGCATATATCACTATCAGGAACAAAGCCTAGTAACAAAATGGAATGAAAAGATTTCGAAACGATAGTGGTTAAAATGATCTATATTATACCCCTGCCGCCACCCAACACTCTCCAAACCTGGATTTGATGTGTAACAATTTATTGATGGGCATTTTAATGTCGATACTGATGATGTTTCAGATGCGAATAACCAGTTGGCCTATGTACACTACGTAGAGATTAAAATTTTGACTTTGGGTTCAGGGTTACATGAACAGCAACAGTATAACGCTCATGAAACATCTTTTGATGTATAGCCAGTTTGCAAGATGCCAGAAAAAAGACAAGAAATAGAACACCTTGAGCTACAATTTTTATCAATTGTAAAGTTATATGTTAAGGATGGTTCAAATTTAGTCATATAACTTTAATTATTCCTAAATGCCTATTTATTTTTATTTTGAATGCAATAAACTTGTATTTCTAATAACTAGTCTTTTTTAATTTGTCAATTCAACCTGCTTGAAAATAGTACATTGATAATCAAGGTTAACCCTTAAGGCAAAAACATGATGTAGTCTCGAACAAACATTAAATTTTAATGTGTGAGAAAGATCTTGTTATTATGTTCTTAATTAGAATTAATTATCATGGTCATTAAAAACAGTTTAATATCAACTATAAATATTGTGTTAACCCGATATCAGACTTGACTCTTCTATGCACCTAGATGTTTGCGCAAAATGGTTCCAAATCATATTTTTGTTATTGTCCGCATTCCACATGATATACCTGTAAATACTCATAAAGTAATAGTCAGCTTAATAATGCTAAAGAGAAAATACATTGCTAAGTTTTACTTTTGAATTACATTACACAGCATGTAATAACATTATCAATGAAAGGTGAACGAAAAATAGTAAAATATGATCATTTCCATCACAAGTACCCTTTTTACCACGGACATTCTATAACAAAAAGTTTCTTGCGAGAAGTTTTAACAACTAAAACAAAAGCAAATGATTTTGCACTGTAAAATATATTGATTTACGCTACCTAATCGTGCGATGAGCTAACTATTTTTGGTCATATTTCGTTCAATAACGATGTCAAAGATGCTAAACTATTAGGTGGGTTTCTTGGCAGACTGAATGATATAGTGACCGTCTAACTTGACGAAACACATTTTGGGTCATAACAGTTCCAGTATAATAATAATTAATACAAAATATTGCTGAATTGCAGTATAATATCGTTGAAATGTTGGAAACTGGATTTTTTTAGGATAAGCCTATAAGATTCGATAGCCACGTTATAGTTTAGGTCTAGTTAAATATTCATTTAAATGGAAACAAATTCAATGACAACTGTTGCAAGTAATATCCGAAACAAATATTGGTGCTGATCATTAAGAATAATTAAAACAAACACTGTCAATCTGATTTAGTATAAGAATCTGATATGTAAATGGTATTCCCAATGCACAGCTAGCTTTCAGAAGATGAGGTGTTTTGCTCTGTGTTTGGGTGCTCTGGCACTGGTGGCGGTGTGTCACAGTTTAGGTGAGCTGCAATTTGGATAGCTTAGGAATTAGAGGCGTTTCAGACAAATATGATATAGACATTCTCAGATTTATTGACGTTAATGATTGATTCGTAGCTTCATTGTTAAGTTCTTCATTAATCTCTAGTCTTTTCATCATCTCTTTATTTCAAGCTGTAAGGAAGGTATATGAAGAGGCTGATCTTGACGAAAAGAAAGATGATGTCAAGTTAGTTAAACGATCTGCGGCTCTCGGTAAGTTTGAAATAACGCTTACAGTGTGAGTTACAACTAAACTACAAATTAATAAAGATCGGATGATTGGAAATTGGAAGAAGATGTTACACTTCTAGCAAAACTCTTTCATTTTTCACTGCATGATGTATTCCGCTTTCAATAGGAGCAGAAGAGCAGGACACAATCAATTTCATTTTCAATTTAAACACAAATATACTCGCAAGGCAAAAGATCATTAATAAATCATCTACTGATCTTGCAAACTATCCGACGATTATGTGATATTTTATATTTTCAGATCCGCCCGCCAATTCTGTGCACGAAAGAATAAGTAAGTACACGGGTGCCTTTTGAAATTAACACCTTTTACAACAAAAAACTCAAATTACACATTTCACTTTAAAATGTATGAATATCGCAACAATAAGTATGTTTTAATAAATAGGCAAAAGGACCAATACTTTATTCTAAGTGTCATTAATGATACCACGGTTTTTTAAAAATTTCCAGTGTAGGTAAATGTGGAATGTGTAGCATTTTGATGCTCACTTTATGTGACATACTTTATTACAGAAAGGAGCTGGCATTTTTACAGTAAGAAATCTAAAAAATCGAATGGAAAGGGGATCAAATCTAAGAAGAGCAAATCTGGAGGTGTGTGAATTAATTTAGTGTTGTTTTTTGGCTTGAATAAGAACCATCTACGAGTTTTTATTAAAGCCAGCATTATAAGTATCATTATGTATGACTTTTCTTTGAGACCGAGTGTGCTATGGATACTTGTTTTGTTCTGGGGTGTCGTAGTTTTCGAATCTAAAAGACTTATGTCTGTAATTGTTCAGTACCGGTGCCAAAAAACAACTAATGCTTGGTAAATTTCGAAACATGGTATTTTGTTCTATCCTGAAGGTTTGTTTGGTATTTTGAAGAGGGGTGGCAAGTCGGTGGTACGAGGGGGTACAGTTATTCACACAAAGCTTAAGACGATGTTAAAAAACGCCGGTAAGAAAATATTGTTAATAATGTTATCAATACAAGAGACATCCTTTATGGAACTTAATTTGAGGTCGGCACATAAATGAAGATGGAGGGTAATTTAGTTCACTCACCAGGATATTCGACTGAAATCTTATTTTATTTCAGGCAAGCATATCTTTAAGTCCCATGGGGGACACAGTAAATCCAAGTCAAGGAAACACGGTAAGAGGTTTATTTGGCTATGCAAAAGAATCTTACTGACAAAAATAACATGCTGATATAGCATTTTGTGTAAATTTTGTTGAAAATAGACATTTCAAATTCAATCCACTCCGTTCTGAGAAATATATTTTCAATATGAGAAACGACGAAACGTTCCAGATCTATCTATTGCTTCCAAAATATGTATCTACTTTTTAGGTCATTCAAAATCACCCAAATCTAGAAAGAGATCCAAATCACCAAAATCACGAAAGGGATCCAGGTCTAAATCGCCAAAATCACAAAAGGGATCCAAATCACCAAAATCACGAAATGGATCCAGGTCTAAATCACCAAAATCACGAAAGGGATCCAGGTCTAAATCACGAAAGGGATCCAGGTCTAAATCACCAAAATCACAAAAGGGATCCAGGTCTAAAACACTAAAATCACGAAAGGGATCCAGATCTAAAACACTAAAATCACGAAAGGGATCCAGGTCTAAATCACCAAAATCACGGAAAGGTTCCAAATCAAGAAAAGGAAAGGGATCGAAATCTAAATCCAGAAAAGGGAAGGGGTCAAAGTCAAGAAAAAGAAAGAAGCCAAAATCTAAGAAGAGAAAGGCAGCAGAATCTACACAAATCGTCGTTACCCAAACTCAAGTTGTGGTAGAGAAGGTGAAGAAAGCAAATGAAGGTAATTAAAAGTTTTTTGAGGATTTCTATGGGGTTTTTGTCCTTTCCGCGGGTTAATTTTCATTTATTTTTCGCTTAGGGACAAAGAATGGGATACTGAAAAAAAAAACAGATTTTTCTTATGTTTGTGAAGTCCAATAATTAAAGTAGTAAAACAAAGTGTACACATCCAGATCCATAGAAATCCCGGAAGTGCTAGCTTTTAAGTTGGAGTAGGGTAGAAACCAACTGCCAGCCAGATAAGCATTTAAAGGGAGATAATTTTTTAATTTGGGTTCTTTCTTTCTAGAGCTCTGTAAGTGTAAAGCCAGTGGTGACCCTCATTTCTTTACATATGATGGTCAAAAGATTGACTTTATGGGAACTTGCCAGTACACTCTTTCAAGATCATTAATCAAGAATGATGAATGTGCCTTCAATGTTGAGGTCAAGAATGAAGCCCGTAAAAGAAGTAAACCAAATGTTTCCTGGGTTCGTTCTGTCTACTTCACCATCTACGGAGTTCGTGTCAAGCTCCATTTGAGAAAAAAACTTTATGTAAGTTGATTCTTTTAACTTCTTGTGATTTTGCACACTCCAGTACTTAAATAATACCCGTCGTGACGTTACACAAACATACTAATAGTATATGCAAGAACTATTTGTAATTTTATTGATTATTAATTCAATTACGTCTATGTTCTAGTGAATTAGCTGACGATTACCTCTACAATTTCTCTTTTTGCAGATTAACGAAAAACGTGCTTACCCACCAGTCAGTTTAGCCAATGGTCGGTTAAACATTATTAGAAGTGGTAAATCATTAGAAGCAACAACAGAATGCGGAATCAGAGTAAAATTTGATGGAGTTCACCTGGTTAAAGTAAAGGTACCTAAGAAATATTCTGGTAGAATGACAGGTTTATGTGGTGATTGTAACGGTGTAAAGGATGATTTACGTTTGGCCAATGGAACCGATGTTACTGATGTAGCTAAAGGTCGTTTTGAAATGATTGGTACCAGTTATCTTGCTCCTGCTTACAGACGAAAAGTCGAGTAAGACTCCATTGTTATGTTTACAATCGATGTTCAACCAAGATCAGATCACAATTTGTAAAATCTTGAATCAAACAGTGATATTGAAATCAACAAGTGTCACTTAATTGTGGATGGAAAAACAGACTTCTTTATCTTATATCTGGATTTTTTCCATGTAACTTTGTGGGTATCTAAATCGAATAAATCTGCAAATCTGTCTAAATGAACATGGGTCTGTCTTCAATTTCGGTGAAATGTTCTAAAAATATATCTTTTCAGATGTCGAGCTGTATCACCTTCAATTGAATGTGCTAAGTCAACCAAAAAGGTAGTAAGCCGTGACGATTCATGTGGTATGATCAGAAAGACGGATGGACCATTTGCTAAATGTATTGAATCACTTGGAACTGATGTTATGAATTATTTTGATGAATGTACATATGATGCCTGTTCCTATGAAGGAAGTCCAGAAGACATCAAAGGATCAGTATGTAAATCTTTAGAAGCTTTCGCTGCTGATTGTGAAGATGCTGGTATCGTTGTCAGATGGAGGACTGCTAATTTCTGTCGTAAGTATTGAATTCTAGTTCGATTTCGGTTGAAAAGAAACAAATTTGCCTCTGCGATTGCAGAATGGAGCAATTAGACATGTTTATGGTCATACACAAATTCTTCTCTAATAAATACACCCTACACTCAAATTAAAGCCCGGATTAAATATATTTTTAAATAAGAAATTCATCACAATTCACAGTATTAAGTAGTGGACATAACATTTACGTGCTTATAAATTAGATACATATTTTTCGCGTTTTAGCCCTCCCATGTGGTGAGAATATGAAATACAACCCAGCAATGTCCGGTTGCCAGGAGACCTGCAGTGGATTACCTCCCTTAGATCAATGCCCTATAGATCTGAGTGAAGGTTGTGAGTGTGAAGATGGATTTGTGTTGAGCGGGGATGGCTGTGTTCCTGAAGAAAGTTGTGGTTGTAACACTGATGACGGTTTTTACTATCCGGTGAGTATTTTTAACACTTAACACGCTATATCAAAATATCAAATATATCAATAAGCAACTTTTTGAGTAATTCAAATTGACTGGCAATTTATTTTTCCAGATCGGTAAAGGATATATCTCTGAGGACTGCTTGGTGAAGTACACTTGTGAAGCTGCAAAGGGAGGTCCAGTTCTGACAGCAGAATCTGAAGATCCAGGCTGTGTTGAGCACACTACCTGTAAACTGGAGAATGGCGAACCAGTTTGTACTTGTGAAGAAGGGTATCTTGGTGAGGGGTCATCGGGATGTTTCAAAGGTAATCGTGCCATGTACCTTATCTATGTCAAACATAGTACATTGAATTACTCACTAAAATTATTATTCGTCCATATAGATATTTGATTAATAATGACATTCATAATGGCAATCGAGTGCAAGATTTTGTTTTCTCCTGAATTTAACCAAGGGAGTTACTACACCCTGTCTATGTATATTGCACTCGGCAAACAACCTTGATTTGATTGGAGAATAACGTCTCTTATAGTCAATTGATACCTGTCATATAATAATTGCTTTATTTTCTTAGCAGTAAAGTTTCATCAGGAAGTAGAATACCCACCCATAAATGAAAAACGTATTCTTGTCATGCCACGGAACGGAGATATGACACCTGTTGAAATAGTAGACAAGACACCTAAAACAACAGAACCTGAACCAGACGAACCAAAGGAATCTGAAGTCATTATCGAAAAACCAAAGGAACCAGAAGTTGTTGTTGAGAAACCCACGGAACCAGAAGTTGCCGTCGAAAAATTAAAACAGCCAGAAGTTGTGGTCGAGAAACCAAAGCAGACAGAAGTTGTTGTCGAGAAACCAAAGCAGCCAGAGGTTGTTGCTGTTGAGAAACCTAAGGAACCAGAAGTTGTTGTTGTTGAGAAACCGAAGGAACCAGAGGTTATTGTTGAGAAACCAAAGGAACCAGAGGTTGTTGTTGAGAAACCTAAGGAACCAGAGGTTGTTATTGAGAAACCTAAGGAACCAGAGGTTGTTGTTGAGAAACCTAAGGAACCAGAGGTTGTTGTTGAGAAACCGAAGGAACCAGAAGTTGTTGTTGAGAAACCAAAGGAACCAGAGATTATTGTTGAGAAACCGAAGCAACCAGAGGTTGTTGTTGAGAAACCAAAGGAACCAGAGGTTGTTATTGAGAAACCAAAGGAACCAGAGGTAGTTGTTGAGAAACCGAAGGAACCAGAGATTATTGTTGAGAAACCGAAGGAACCAGAGGTTATTGTTGGGAAACCTAAGGAACCAGAGGTTGTTATTGAGAAACCTAAGGAACCAGAGGTTGTTGTTGTTGAGAAACCGAAGGAACCAGAGGTTGTTATTGAGAAACCTAAGGAACCAGAAGTTGTTGTTCGGGTACCGAAGGAACCAGAAGTTGTTGTTGAGAAACCAAATGAACCAGAGGTTGTTATTGAGAAACCAAAGGAACCAGAGGTTGTTGCTGAGAAACGTAATGAACCAGAGGTTGTTGTTGAGAAACCTAAGGAACCAGCAGTTGTTGTTGAGAAACCGAAGCAACCAGAGGTTATTGTTGAGAAACCAAAGGAACCAGAGGTTGTTGTTGAGAAACCAAATGAACCAGAAGTTGTTATTGAGAAACCAAAGAAACCAGAGGTTGTTGTTGAGAAACCTAGGGAACCAGAAGTTGTTGTTGAGAAACCAAATGAACCAGAGATGGTTATTGAGAAACCAAAGGAACCAGAGGTTGTTGTTGAGAAACCTAAGGAACCAGAGGTTATTGTTGAGAAACCTAAGGAACCAGAGGTTGTTGTTGAGAAACCTAAGGAACCAGAAGTTGTTGTTGAGAAACCTAAGGAACCAGAGGTTGTTGTTGAGAAACCTAAGGAACCAGAGATTGTTGTTGAGAAACCTAAAGAACCAGAGGTTGTTGTTGAGAAACATAAGGAACCAGAAAATCAAAAAAGATTGATTAATTTTCCACCTGTTGTTCCTAATCAAATAGATGAAGAATCTGAAACCCCTGGAAGTGTATTTTCCCCGGTTCCCGATCTTTTACTCGAAGAAGAAGATGAGGACGAAGATGAACCAGATTCCGAGCCTGTACCTGAACCAGTTCCAGAGCAAAATCCAATACCAGAACAGAATCCTGTACCAGAACCAGTTCCAGAACAGAATCCTGTACCAGAACCAGTTCCAGAACAGAATCTTATAACAGAACTTGTTACAGAACAGATTCTTATAACAGAACCAGTTCCAGAACAGCAACCTATACCGGAACCAGGTCCAGAACAGAAACCTATACCAGAATCAGTTCCAGAACAGAATCCCATAACAGAATTTGTTCCAGAACAGAATCCTATACAAGAACAAATTCCAGAACAGAAACCTATACTCGAACAAGTTCCAGAACAGAAACCTGTACCAGAAGAAGGACAGGTTGAGCTACCAATACAAACCCTCCCTCCAGCTCCGGAACAAAAGACTGAAGAAACATCAATAAGTCTGCGACCAATTAAGTTTGGTGAGTTGCCATATCGTTATTCAATTTTATGATATATGTATCTAACAATGAAATGTTTCAAAAAGACAATTTTATGCAATATTTGAAATCTGTTAAAAAGATAGGGCTCACAGTTTCAAGCGATGTGGCATATTTATTTAATTTTCAAAAGTAAAATATGATATGATGAAAGATATTTAAAATGAGAACTTGATTCGAAACATTACATATTGCAGTCAGTGGTTTTTCCTGAAATTGCTTTTTAAAGCATGCAACAATTGCATATTTTACCATTGTAATACTAATGTCAGCTAATACATGTAATATTATCTTGCTGTTTTTGAATTCGCGTTGTAAGATATAATTCTCTGTTTCAGTTCCATGTCATTGTGAGGCCAAGGGCGATCCTCATTATACAACATTTGACAATGCCACAATTGAACTGTATGCTGAGTGTAAGTATACAATGAGTAAAGGAGAGCTAGATGATGGTAAATGTAAGTTTGATGTAGAGGTGAAAAATCAAAGACGGCCAAAATCCAACAATCCATTGAGAGCCTTTACTAGGTATGTTAACGTGAAAGCTGGTGGAGAGAATATTCAGTTAGGTCAAGGAGGAAAGGTCTCGGTAAGTCACGGCTTTCATATACCTTTAGGAAACTATTTGTTCTTCAATAAGATTTAGTACATGTATATGTAATAGTAATAGACTTTATGCAAGTGGTATATCGCTATCAAATTAGATTTCATCGCGTCTCTCGTACTTCAGAGAACTGTACTGCCCCATAGAAAATGTTACATTTTAACCATAAAGGGAATTAACGACCAACAATTCTCGCTGTTAATCAACTGACTACTTGAAACAACAAGTGTTTTGAATGTGATGACTTTATCTTTGTAGTTCAATGGTAAATATAGAGCAGTACCTTTTATCACTACGGAAGTAAACGTCACAAGAGATGGAAAATTTGTCTTATTGAAAACACGATGTGGTGTTCAAGTACGATTTGATGGTAGATTCCTAGCCAGGATTCAGGCACCACCAGCTTATAGAAACAGGTTGTCTGGACTCTGTGGTAACTGTAATGATAATAAGGAAGATGATGTTGACGTTGATGGTCGTTCAGTAGACAGTTTCCCAAGCACTAAAGAGGGATATCTTGCACTTGCTAATAGATATTTGGTGAAAGATAATTCTGATAATCCAAGCAAAGATCCAGAGTAAGTGATATACTTAATTTGAAGATAAAAGTTAAAATCCGTATAAAGAGAAATGGTAAAATCTTAAAGGACCATGTGATCTGTCAAAAAAAAACAAATATTTTCTGAAAAGGATGACCATTTCAGAGGGTCTAGCTGATGTTTATATAGAAAAGAAGCAATAATTATCTCGTTACATCCGATTAAGTCAATATACTTTCTTCTATTTTAGGTGCCAGTTGAAATAGGTACGCAAAAAGAAAACAACAGATATGATATAGATATTGATTTCTTTACATACACAAAATTAATATATGATGATGCAACTAAACTTTGTCTTTTAGTCGTATATGCACCTCTCCCAAGATAATGATGCAAAGGTTTAATAAGTTATATATATACAAAAGGGCGTGTATATTCACAAATGAATCTAGTGAAAATATATTTTATCGAAGTAGTAAAATCATATGCAGACTTAAATGCATTACATATGCATTTCACAACACAAGTTAACAATTCCTTAAAAATACACGAATAAGTAAATTTGGTACGTTTATCTTTGAGTGACAACTCGAAATACAGTTTACTCGAAGTGGTTGTCACTCTGGGCTGACCACTTACCATTCTAGGAAAGTTAAAAATATTTTTCTGAATCAACGATTTAAGCGTGCATTTGTTCCCTTTGTAATAACCTTGATCTTCTGGATACAACTGGCGCTGATTGTGATCGAACTATGGATCTTGCTGTTGGACATGGTTTAGTAAGTCTTTCAACGATTCCAGTCATTTCCTCGGGAGTAGCAACACGTCTTGTTCCCGGGTAGTGTTTTTTTAGTTCTGGATATTCATATCTTAAATAAGGTCTTGATGACAGAAATTCAGTTGAACGTCGAAAATCGTCTTCCCATGTCTGTCGCTCACGTGACCATAGCTTCGATCGTCTTGCACTGGCGGCCGTTGGCTTGGCAACTGTCATTCTTAAACAAAATGTTTCAAAATCTTCATCGTAGATCTCAACTCTTAGTGGGTGCCTTCGTTTGCCTGATGTTCCCATTTCCTGTAATAGAAAAACAAACTATTTGAAAAATTCAAAAGACATAGATACAAAGTTCAGAATGCATAATTATCTGTTTCATTTTGGTCATATTTTCTAGATTTACAGGAAATACAAATACGGGAAAATAGTTAAGCTAGAAGTACTCTACACATGTTTAGGAAGGAAAATCTCAACAAAGGAACTGTATACGCCACTACGCAACAGGAGTTTGAGCTTAAAGCTTCCATGAGCTCCCTGTTTGATAGCATCGTTACACCTTTTCTTCAAATATGCATTACAATTTTAAATATACAAGGTTAAATATGTTTTGCATCGTTACAGCGTTTTCTTCAAATATAAAGTGCAAATTACTTAATATGTTTTAATATCATTAGGAGATAAACAGCCCAGTGTAGTTTTTATTTTCAAATTCAGTTGGATATTAGATAACTTACCGTTTTGGCAAAATAAACTGCACGGTATCGAAAGCTCCTTCACTCAAATTTCACTCCAAAATGATGCTCAGTACCAAATTTACTTATATCAAATGATAACAGAAAACACTTATAATAAAGCTAATATCTCATAAATATTGCTAGCCTGGTCAAACCAAGAACTGTTCTGTAGATTGTTAAGCTTCTCGGAGTTTTATCCCAGTAGCCAGTCCTTTATATCGATAACTCGCAAATAATTCTGTCACTAATGAAGAAACATTGACATGACAGTTTTGTATCCAATCTGTAATTATTTTTTGGTTATGAGTGCGAACTACTTCGATTTTGATTTGAATAGCTTGGTGTTCACGGTTTACGAGCTATCCGTTTACAAGTAGATCACAAGTTTAACAATTTAAACTGGCAGCTATTAGTATGGACCGCCCTTCAAATGTTGTTCACACTAGCAAAATCAAGATTGTTGTGCTTTGAACAGTTAACTGGGCTATTATTTGGCTATCGAATTCGATGGTTGTCCTACAATCGTGACACAAAGATCAAATGCAGCTATTGTTATCAAAATGATGTTATTAAAAGCTTTGAGTTAATCTCTTTTTATATTAAACGTTAAATTATAGCCATTATTATCGCTTAAAGGGCTTAAATCCCCCAAATATTCTGTTACCACACAGCATTTCTCTCTTCAAATTGAAAATGTAGTATCAAAGCTTTTATTTTTTGAGTCCCAAATTTTGTTTTTAATTCAATTTTAGAAGAACTCTACGTTGTACTTGCTTTATGTGTAGATACAGTAATGCTTTAAATTCAATAAAGTTCGTGCTCTGTTTTAAATTTTAGACAAAAAGTAGATATAAAATTCACAAGAACAATTTGGTTGGCTATATCACTTTAATATAATCTAGGTTTAAAAGCTATAACTGATTACGGGACAATAAAACGACTCATATTCTAACATTACACAATTAAACCGAGATTATGATTTAAGTAATATTTTTTACCTATAGCGGATTTTCTTTAATAGTTTAAATAATCCTATCAGTTATCTCGATATGGCGGTTAACAGATATATATTGCTTTATTGGATTACAGGGGTTGAAGTGACACACACACATTGAGAAAAGCAACGAAATTTGTATTGTATAATGATCCATCCAAACAATTCGTGACTCTAAAAAAGGATAATAACGAATGTCGAAAGATATCAGCATTTAGAAATGGGCATGTACATTGGTGTAGATGTCATCGTGATAACTGTGGATATCGAACGTTGAAAAGTTTGACAATATATTAAACAAAATCGTTATTAAACAAATCAATAAAATTTACTTTGCAACGTATAAACAACATATTTCGGTTAAAATCGTTCATGCCAAAGTGTAAATCAAATTTGGGCGAATCTAGTCAACTGCTAGCTAGTCAATGTAACCCTTGAGAGCACCTAAAACCGAAAATTCGCAGTTCTAGCATAAATGGGGTTTTTTCGCTCCTACCGTCTGCTACAGGATATTTTGAATGGTCGAAAGTAAATGTGTCCCCGCCACATTAATCAGATATTTTTTTCTGCAATAGATGAGTTGCTAAACATTTTTTGATTGAATACGAATGTAGTACAGGCTATTTTTAGACATCTTCCAGGCTATTTTTTAGAAAACTTCTTTCTTTCTCCCTTTTGGGGTTTTTGCATGCTTATTTTTGAGTAAGTTGTGGTCCAGATTTGGAATTTGATGTCTGGAATTGCATTATCTTTAAGATTTGGTGAGATAATGAGAGACTTAAAGACGGAAGGATAATTCTAAAAATAGTCGTTTTGTGAACTGACAAACTCTAGCGGATGAGTATAACCGGTAGTAGTCTACTTTCTATTTGACTAGCACAAAATTTTCATGGTCATCATATATTGAATTTTTTAGGGGACATTAAGGATTGGTCAGGCTTTCATTCGACATATTGGAAAGCTTTCAACGAGATTTCTGGAAAAAGTTGTAGAAGGTTGAATTTCGTGTTTAAACATGGGAAGAGATGGCAAATGAATTAGTGGAGTGAGTCCTGTATATTTTCATGAGTTACCTCCCGTGAACTATTCGAGTCACTGTTTTTTTCTTTTTGCCCCCCTGCATTGTGAACTGCTATGACGAGTGTGTCGCCAGACAGGGTATGCTTTTTCATTATGAAATATTTACTCACTTATGATTGATATAAATGAATCTAGTGAAAAGTACATTAGCTGCTTCCAATGTTTCGCAAGCATGTTGTTTTGGGTTTCGTTTGCGGTGCGGATCGACAGTACTTGGTCGTACTTACTAAAACATGAACCGACATTTAATGACTAGGAACGACCAGGAAACAACCAATGAAAACGTGAAACAGGAAACGACCTCAAACTATTTTGCAATAAATTCTAAGCAAGCTAATTTGGCCAAACAAGTTATTAATTTTAAAAAAAAATATGCATTTGGGAGAAGTGCAAACTCATAGTGCAAAGTCATAGTGTCTCTTTAAACTTCACGACAACACTATATAGCAATATTGTTACAATGTTATATATTAAACTAAATCTGTGCGTTTTATCACAGAAAAAAATCACTCAACTGGGAAATATGAAATTCAATGAAAGACTTAATAATAGGTCAATAGAGTATACTTTTCCCAAATGCACATTTTCTTTTAAGGGACAGTTTTGCCATTTGTTGACCAATCGTACCATAGATTATAAACGGGAACTTTTGGCTGAGTATTCTTGAAGGAATTATACGATTTTCGTCTAGTACTTCTGAAGACTTATATTAAGACCAAAATCATCGCCCGAAAATTGCGAATTCGTACCTTTTAAAAATGAAATGAAATGAATGGAGTTTTACGTCCTACTTTTCTGCACCTTGTGGGCTAATGAAGACGGGCAAATTTTTCCAGGACAGCGGCATTAGCCTGCTTTTTTCGATTTCCAACTGTCGAGGGATCTTTAACGTGCACAGCCTGTAGCACACGGGGCCTCCGTTTATTGTCCCATCCGAACGACTAGACGCTTTTTCCACGTCAGCCCCTCTTACCTGCATCACTGAAAGGGGGAAACCGGGTTGAAAAATCCGAAGGTATTATCTCGACCTATGCCGTGATTGAACCCTGGACCTTCAGGTTAGCGAGCAAGCGTCTAACTCACTGAGCCACCGCGGCTCCCCGAATTCCTACCTTTAAGTTTTTGCTGTGGACTTGATAAGTTCTGCTTTGAACATGACAAGAGAACATTTATTTGCAATATTATATTAACACTGATAATCAAATTTAAGAACATCGCAAGATCAGTGATAGGTTAAAGGACAAGTCTATGTGGTAAAGTTAAAATGCTGATCTCGCGTGAAGAAATCGTAACATCGGACTCAACCCCCTTTTACATAGAATGAAAATGATAATCGATTGAGGATTAAGTACAAGTTTATGATACTCAAGATAACACGACGATATTAAACTTATTCAAACAATAATTACCTTGTGTACCAATTATTGCTTGATATACTTAGCAACATCGCTATAATACGATGGAAATACAATATGTGTAGAGAATATTGACACAATAAATATATACATAATTTGTAACAACTGACACAATTTAATAAAAATAGTTATGTTTGTGTGTTTGAACGAGGTAAATAAAAATACACCTTGATTTGAAAAAAAACTGGATTTTTAGATGGTAATGAGAAGACGATCCCGAGTCATGCGGCTTGACACATCCACATTAAATTAAACTGTACTTCATATTTCAACTCTTTATTGTACTTCTTCACTCATACGCTGATGGTAGCGTTTAAATGGTGAACACATACTGAGCCGATCAACCATATCTTGTATTTCATACCGATTTATTCTTCGTTTCACAAACGTATTCTTGGGCACTACCATAGCTTTAGGCCTAACTTTTCTTACTTTCGAATCAGTTTTGTCGTTTCTTTTACTAAGTTGAAAAGTAGTCTGTTTTTGTTTACTACTTTCGGTTTCGCGTGTTAGCCTTTTAAGTATCGTTAGTCTGTCAGCAGTATCACCTTCATTGAGGGTTCGAATCCTTTTATCATTCATATCAGACTTTCGATACCAAACCTCGTTTTGAAAGGGATTATTTCGTTCATTGACGTCTTTTTCCTGAATTGTGCTCTGCAGATTTGGAGAAGAACTGGCTTTTCCAGAATATCTTCTACCATTCAGGCTGTTCTTCTCAGATGATGCTCGTCCACTGGAAATCCTGGTATCAACTGATGTGGGATTTTTGGGTCTTACAACATCAACAATAGCTGTTAAATCCGGATCGGACTTTGCTCGACCAAATTTCGTACGAAACTTTGTGGAAATTGGATTGCAGTCAAAGTATTCGCCATATCTTGAGAAAACAGTGACATCATAGTTTTTGCACTCACTAGAATATTTCGTTTGAGGAAAAAGTTCGTTAGATTTATATTGCGTATACTTGTACATATTTTCCGGTTCCTGTAGAAATCCTATCGGATAGTTTTCGGTTAACCGTACCATATCATCTATGTATTTCTTTTCTGACAGTCTAAATAGAGCTGAAGAATCTCGCCATACTACTGCCATGGTGGGTTGAAGGCGTATATAGTCTTGATTTACATAAACCTTTACTGAAATAATAACTGGTTAATCTGATTTACAGAATTACATCTCAAACGCAAATAAATAATAAATTGCTGCCTGTCGGTTGAAATATCCGTGGCCGTCGCAATCACAAACTGTTATCTGGTTCACATTTTTCTTAAACAAACCCACAATCAATCAATGAATTCTATGCGTTAAACTCAGCTTGGATTGTACTGCCGATATCAGTGGGACACTTATATGTTTAAATATTTCACTTCCAAATCATCATAAATTCAGAATTTCTGAACTCAAAAGTTTCATGAAATGCACCAAATTCCCACAATAATATCCATCGAGATCGACTATCAGAAACGTATATCTATTCTGTATAAACTGTTACAACATTATGTCTATACAACCGTGTTACAAATAATACTTTTTCTGAGAACAACAATTTTCCAGAATGCACAACATATAGCCTATCACTGTTTTCCAGAAAATGTTTCTTTTATTGTTATCGATTTCTATTCATTCTACAAGATGAATGCTTATTTCCCTCTCACAGCAAATTGGTTTTTCCTTAAAAAAATTTGTGGCAGACTGGTATCTCGTTGGTAGAGTCAGCAAAAGACTTTAAGACTCTAATTATGTTAAATGAGATGTCGAAGGTACACGTTAATCAATATGAAACTATAGCACATGGCGTAAAATGAGAATGTTAAAAATTGAAGTTATGCACAGTTGTTCTGAACTTTTGTAAATAAGTTGTAATAAAATGACATAGATAATACGCGCCCGCAGTATTTACTGTTGAATTCAGATTGTACATCAATATTTAATAGAGATTTGTTTTTACAGGGTGTCAAACAACTTATTTATTCTGTTTAATGTTTAGCTCTACAGGCTGGTTTGTTTTCTCGTCTTTCATTGGGGTTTATTTAGCTTCGTGAAACATCAACCATTTTAGTTGTATTTTTAATAATAATAATTATAAATTTAACTGAATTTGATTAACATTATACTGTCTTCTATCATCAAATAAAATAGTGCTAAACATCTGCCTCTATTCCAGCCTCTGATGGATATTTTGATAGTAGTCGGCTGGAGTAAATTCTGCAGATCTGAGGTATCTAAATAGGCTTAAAACCTTGGCACCTGTGGAGACGCGGAATGTCTCCATTAAACAGGGCCTATTTTTCTGTCTCTACACTATCCGACATCCGTTGTGTTTTGGTCTACAATTAAAGAAGCACTCGAAACACCTTGATGATATATGCATCTAGAGATGCAATTTGAGGTTTAAATTGAAATTTGACCAGTCAATGACAAATTAGTGATAATTCGAAACTGTTAATGCTTGTTTTATATGCTGTAAAATATATTTCAATTATTTATGAAGCAAGGGAGGCAACTGTGTAATAATTTTGAAAAAAATGAATTACCAAGGGAGAGAACCTTGTAAAATTTACTCTACTGATAGTTGCTGAATGGGACATGAGTACAATAACTGCTATCCTACCTTCCACGAAAATATCTCCATTTCTGAATTCCCAGGAGAACGGTTCGGGAATATTTCGCCATGATTAACCATTTAATTAACACCTCTTTATTAAATAATTAATTATGTGAAATCCAAGGTTTGTTTATAGACAATGTGTTATGTTTTGTTTCGTCACTATACAAGAACACGGCACTTGAACTGGTCTCTGATGTATAGCTTTAACTGGGTATGTTTGGAGGAGACCCTGTCTGGTTGGCCTTAAATGAGTTAGCAGGGCCTGTTTTATGGTAAAAACCTATTTCATAGATAACTTTTACGCTAACAAAATTTGTCGAGAGATAAAATGGTGCGGCTAAATTGCACAATGTTCTATAATTGCGAGTACGCCGTGGTGTAATTGGGTCAATATTGGTTGAGATCCATTGCCTCATAGAAGATTGCATTCCATAATTCTGACCTTATACTGGTGTTTGTTTTTAATTTTGATCATTGTGGCCAAGGGTGTACCCAGGATAAGCGGTGTCAAGTATGTTGAAAACTATTATTTACTTCCTTGAACTGAGGTCTTATTTACGATTTTATTGGTTGAAATAGAGGGTTTCTTTTGTAACAGACGAGATCTAATATTGCATGCTTTTCCCAGGGAGGTAACTCCAACTGATATAAAGTTTACTGTTTATCTAGATTGTAATTGTTCCTCCTCAATGGTAGTGATTTTAAAGGAATACTATCTCTATGGATGACTTGCTTAAAATGAGTCTTTGTTCATAAGTGGACTAACCTGGTGTCATAACTATACAAAAGTATCCCTTTATAAGGCAATAAATCTATAAAGCTAAGTAGCCTTATAATGAAACATGATTAGTGTTTATTTCAATAATTATTTAGCTCAATCTTCATATATAAAGAGATTCTATCCCTAAGTCATGACACCTGGTAAATCCAACGGTATAATTATACACTTGTTGATCAAGTTTGAGGCTGTAAATTTGATGCCCATTTTAAGAGGTTACATTCCTTTATATGTTTTACGCTCGTGTATAATGAAGCAAGATGTAAGATGCATAAAGTGTGAGATAGTGCCTTTGCAACTAGAGATAAAACTGTACATTTTAAATGTGAACTTCCACTACCCTCTCTACTGGGTACTTAGGTCTCACTATAATAAAAAGGTTAATTTATGAATTTAATAGTTAATACTGTTGCTATGTTTGTTAGTTCCAGATTGTCTTATCACATATTTTTCAGCACTGTATATCATTTATGTCCATCATATACTTACATCCATATTTCCATGATAGAAGTCAGTTGGCCATGTATACTTCAACTATACAATCCATACAGCCAATACTCTGATTTTGGCATTCTTTTTGTCATAACATCGCACATAAAATGACAAAGCACTACACATGACTGTTATAAGCCTGTTCCTTTCTTTCTCTTTGTTCCTGTAGGAAGTTATCCAGAGTCATTTGTTTGAACTCCTCCCATTGTATATTTGCATCAAGGCGATCAATTAGCTCATCTTGACTTGGAAACGGTTTTGCCTGAAAAATAAGGTGAGCAAAATCTATATGATTTCATTCGAAAGAATTCAATGTTTTAAGAAAAGCTTTAAGAAAGCATAATATTTTCCCACCATATTGTGACATTTGATGTCATTATGCAGTGGCTACCGATCGGTTAGATAAAGAAACCATGAACCTACCATAAGTCGTATTAAACTATAGAGGGCATCATCGCAGTGTTTCATAAAATACTTCCGGTTTATCTGTAAAATTTCACATTCACCACTCACCTACAATACAATAAAATTAGATAAGGAAAAGAAGCTGATTTCTGGGACCTAATATTCCGTCTCCATAATTCACCTATGTAATACTTTTTTGCTGTAACCTAAGTAACTTAAGACGCAGCATCGAGCCGCCTTATTCAAGAAATCATAGGTGGTAAACGTAATTCTGTAGTTTACATAGCTTCAAGACGAAATATCCTAATCATGTATGGTGTAATATAAATTATATAGGTTGATAGTAATTTCATTGTGAAATGATCCCGATTATGGGCAACTGATTTCTTGCTGGAAAGATCAATGCCACGACGTATGGCCAAGGACCAGCTAGTAGAAAGGATCCGTTATCCGTTCAAAATATAGTTGTTTGTTTCTTTATGTCTTTTGTATACAGAAGAGCAATAAATAAAGAAGAAATAGAAACAATATAAGCTTACCAAACTGACCGAGGGTCCCATCTCGCTGGCTTCAAGACAAGCACGCAAACCCTACAGGATAAATGCATGGCTAAAGAATTAAATTGCTTGAAATGCTGATAGGATTGACAGAATAATACAAAATTCAAACATTTACCAATGTGATGCAATGATTATCAAAATACTTAATCGTACTTGAAAGAATGATAAGCACTTAGTGAAGATTTTAATTTTGAAAATTGACACGGATAGCTGTTGTTCTAACAACTGCCAAGGCAAATATTTGGATGTCAATATCCCTCTTTACGTTTTAAAGTCCATAACCTAAATTTATTCGGACCTCCTGATGTCAGTCTAACTCCTTGTTAAAGTTCTATTAAATAAACTTACGAATGTATGGCCAGGACGTAAAGTCTCTACATGGACAAATGCGGGGAACTGAGTTTTTCCAACCTTCACAAATTGATCTGTTTTAGGTCGAGAAGTCATGGGGGTCCTCATAAAACTACCAGACCGACCTCTGGATGGGAATCCTAATGCTGATAAAGTTGAAGATCGCCGAGGACTTAAATTGAAGCCTTCGGGGTATTCCACGGGGAGTTTTTGAAGACCACATCCAAGTTCATCATCACTTTCTTCGTTTTTAGACGACTTCGAATCGGAATCTGATTCTGCAGTTGTAAAAATGATATCAGGTAACTTAATCTGTACTTTGGTTTCTTTGCGTGCAGAGGAAACCATCGGCAGACCAGCAAACTTAGCAGCTACTCTAGCGGCATTGATTCTAGATTCTCGGGATTTGCCTGGAGGGGCTGATCGAACCTCTGCTCGTTTGGCTGGTGTGTATGTTGATGGTTTATATGATGATTTGACTGGAAAAAAAAAACTGAAGTTGAGTATGAAGTAGGTTATTCCGAGGAATTTGTCTCTCTGAAATTAGATAATAGGCGAAACTTATCCCCGGAAATCCAAAGAAAAATGTTTTTGTAGCATGCTTATGTGTATTGGAGGGTATTGAACCATTTCCTTTTACGTTTGTGGATCCTGTTATTTCATAATAACTTGCTCAGATTTAGAAGTCTCTATACATAAAAGTCTTCAAATCATATTTGCTGCATTAAGCCTCTTGAATGGTGGTCAACTAGGTCAGGCATGAAGTTTCGTATGTGGTATGAACGAAGTTGCTAACGGTATTTGCAATCATTTGTATCATAACCTAGTGGGTTTATTTGGGTTTTTCAAACATAAAACTATTACACCTACTGTAATCTCTATTTTGTACAAAATCTAAAAGTTGTTTTCGTCTGTAAAATGGCGACTGTTTATTTAATGTTTCTTGAATTTTCTTTCTTCTAGCTTTAACATCAACTGGTCCTGGCGAGAGATATTTATACACTTTAGCCTCTCCCTACAAAAAACAAACCATTTAAGTCATTGTTGTCATCCATCATGCGTTCAGATGGCACATTTTTATAATGATATGTTTACATCAACGATTTTATCTACTTGACGAATCAGTCTGTTGTTGTTTCGTAACTCATTCTGGGAGATCACATCATCTAAACCCTGCATTTTTGTCTTCTATGATTGTTCATTAATATCGTTTTAAAGCTGCCATGGCGTTACCAAAGAGAGGGGTCAACAATGACCTGATATGGGTAGTAAAGGATTGTAAAGAGTTTTTCTAAATGTATATGGGGACACATCATGCACTAATTCAATTGGAATGTTGCAAATTGATGCTATCAGTGTACCGATACACATATTTTTTTTTTTATTAAACCTCATTCCAATCCCTTCAAGAGATCACTTACAGAGCTAATGACGTAAATCCAATCTACTTTGTTACTGTCTTCAACTATTAATCGTCCATACCTAAAAATCAACATCCATTTCAACAATTAACATTCAAAAGTGACATGAAAATGATGGCGATCATGAAAGCAAATCTCGGTCAGCCTAGAATCTCGACATCTAGACCAAGCTGAAAGAATGGAAGCTCTCAATTCTTTCTTTCTTCCCAATTATATCGTGCTCTTTCGAGTAAGAATACTTAATAAGCGGAAATTAACTTGTCCGGAATTGTCAATTTATTTGACTGTTGAATATGAAATGAGTTTAGAATGATAATGTTGGATTGCAAGAAAACTCACTTATATTTCATAACCGTCCATGTTCCTAAATTTTTCACCAACTGGCCCATAGGAAAATGCTGAAAGACTGTGTTACATCTGAAATATGTTAAAATGTAATGTAAATGAAATTTTGGGAGACGCCTGTACATTGCAACTCATTATCAATAATATCATAAGTAAGATACAGATGCGTAAATCGTTGTAACTTGTCAAGTTTTAAAAATTCTGTGGCTCTTAACTCGTGTACTGAAAGCAGCATTGGCCACTAAAATTAAATAAGATGCCGCATATCACTTACTTGCAGATGTCGAGGTTACTGATGTTGTGTGCGTCTTCAGTCATGCTAAATATTTGCCAATAATCCTGTAAAGTTAAATTGAGTTCATATGCAATGCTCTTAATCGAGAATTTGGTACATTCAAATTTATCAATGTCAACTAGTCCAGAAAAATAAACCGTTTCAAAAAAAAGACAAAAAAGTAAATATTTTTTAACGAAAAAAAACACAAAAACTGAAGAGATTTACTTTCAGTGTCATGCAATTCAACACCAAAATCATAAAGTTTCCGTTTAATATTTATCTATATGGCAAAGCATGGTTATAACTATACGCTATTTGTAGTATCAAACGATTGACTGATAATTAAGTATGTTAAAATAATTGTATAGCAAGGATTAGCCTAAAGATATATTGTAGACAGGTTGAATAACCTTGTCATATTTTTAATGGCACAAACAATATATTTAAAATGTATAGACCTTATCAAAATTATTCAGTAGTCAAGTCTTTTTGATTAAGGTTATTGTAATCCTTTTGTTTTTGCAATGTTCACAATCAAAATTCACAACATTCAAATCACCTGATGTAAAACCAATCGTCATAATATTCAGATTCAACTGCTATTCAAAGACTGCAATGATAATATTCAGAGTTATTTAAAAACAACAGTCACCATATTCAGATCACCTGATGTATAAAACTACATTCACAATATTTAGATCACCTGATGTATAAAACTACACTCACAATATTCAGATCACCTTTTGTATAAACTACACTCACAATATTCAGATCACCTGATGTATAAAACTACACTCACAATATTCCGATCAAATCATGTATAAAACTACATTCACAATATTCAGATCGCCTGATGTATAAAACTACACTCACAATATTCAGATCACCTGTTGTATAAAACTACACTCACACTATTCAGATCACCTGTTGTATAAAACTACACTCACAATATTCAGACCACCTGATGTATAAAACTATACTCACAATATTCAGATCACCTGATGTATATAACTACACTCACAATATTCAGATCACCTGTTGTATAAAACTACACTCACAATATTCAGATCACCTGTTGTATAAAACTACACTCACAATATTCAGATCACCTGTTGTATAAAACTACACTCACAATATTCAGATCACCTGTTGTATAAAACTACACTCACAATATTCAGATCGCCTGTTATATAAAATTAACAGGCACAATATTCAGATCGCCTGTTGTATAAAACTACACTCACAATATTCAGATTACCTGCTGTATAAAACTACACTCACAATATTCAGATCACCTGTTGTATAAAACTACACTCACAATATTCAGATCACCTTTTGTATAAAACTACACTCACAAAATTCAGATCACCTGATGTATATAACTACACTCACAATATTCAGATCACCAGTTGTATAAAACTACACTCACAATATTCAGATCACCTGTTGTATAAAACTACACTCACAATATTCAGATCACCTGTTGTATAAAACTACACTCACAATATTCAGATCACCTGTTGTATAAAAGTACACTCACAATATTCAGATCACCTGATGTATAAAACTACACTCACAATATTCAGATCACCTGTTGTATAAAACTACACTCACAATATTCAGATCGCCTGTTGTATATAATTAACAGACACAATATTCAGATCACCTGTTATATAAAATTAACAGGCACAATATTCAGATCGCCTGTTGTATAAAAACAACCATTCATATTTTTCAGATTACGAGCTATTATATCTGTGTACTACTAATGTACAGATAACCTTCTATTAAAAACAGCGATGAAAATATACAAATCCCCTGCTATTTAAAAACAACAATCTCAATAATATAACTCCCCTGATATTCAAGAATAATAATCACAAAATTAAGATCACCTGCTATTTTAAAACAACAATCTCTATATACAAATAACCTGATATTTAAGAACAATAATCGCATTATTCAGATCGCCTGCTATTTAAAAATAACAATCACAAAATTCAGATCACTTTGCTATTTTAAAACAACAATCTCAATATACAAATCACTTGTTATTTAAAAACATCAATCACAATATTCAGATCACCTGCTATTTAAAAACAGCAATTCAATATTCAGATCGCCTGCTATTTAAAAATAACACTCGCTATATTCAAATCACCTGCTGTCTTAAATCACCAACCTTAGATCACCAAGTATATTCTGCTAAGTTATGTTGTTATATTGTATGGTGTTATAAGGAATAATATCGCGTTATTTAGGGTTAAACCCAGATTTAAAAGCTTATTGTTTATATGACATTGTAAAACACGGTTAATAATCTTAGATTTCTTGATTAACTTGTTGGTGGTTTGGGCGAGTCTAAATTCTATAGACCTTTAAATAGAAACTCGATCAACGTGTTCAACTTATATTAATCCGGTAAATATCATTCTGTTTTATATTGAACATAATAAAGACACTTTTTACTAATTGTAATATCTCGAACATCAATTTTTCAAAAAGCAAATATAAACATGTGACAGCGCTTTAGATAATAGTTGAAATAAATTTCAATATTCTGTTTTATGTTTCAGATAAAACGTTGAAAGGTGCTTGCCAAAACTGATTCTGAATTTTATAAAGATTTTTGTGTGTAGTACAATGTAGTGCAATGGATTGTTATTCTATTTAATAGTGTAATTAATGTAAAGGAATGAAAGCCAATGGATTAAGAGAATTTCCAGAAATGCTTTCGCCCAAACTCACATTTTTGACCAATAATGTTTTGTAGTGTGTGATTGATTAAGATTAATAGATCAATATGACCTGTAATCGATACTAGTTTGACAGTGTTACAGTAGTCAGTAATGTAAGATATTGGTTAGATCTTTGTTACGGGTATTTAATGTGAGTTTTATATTGATTCTGACACATAATCTATAGTTCATTTCTATTCTTTACGTTGTAACAGCAAATAAATGATGATGGTAAAGTGCAATCGAGAGTTCTAGCACAATACATGTGTATGAATACCAGCAGCATATGAATGTCATTATGAAGAGGAAAATATTCAAAAAAGCAGCAGCAAGAAAACATAAAAAGAAGAAAATAAGCCCAATTACTGTTTCAACGTCATAGTTCTCCGAATTTCGGGAGCAAACTCTGACTCACCGACATGGTTCCTTAGAAGTTACCCCTCTGGAGTTTAAGACATGTTTTCACCGTCATGGCAGTCATCTGAACACAGACGACCGTGTCTCTCTCATTCAACAGATTTGTAAGAATTTTGATAATACCAACACAATTATAAAACGTAACAATATTTTGAGGTCAATATTTTGATGTCAAAAATCCTGATTTAGGATGAAATGTTATTTTGCACGAATTCAATACAGTTAAATTTTCGAAGCGAATCAACTAAAAAAATCGGATGAAAATTCTTTCGTGTCTGCTTATTTTTTCGTGGAAACGTTTAAGAAAACAGTTAAACCCCCTGTATACAATATTTTTAAAAGGAAAAAACTCACTAATCTATGTAAATAAAGTAATTCCGTTTCCACTTTGGTAATAATAGTTCTTCTTCTAAGTCTACCACACATTAAATCATCTTCCTGAGTGAAAAAAAAAATTCGAGGTACCTTAGACGTGATTTCTAAGACTTGGTTCAATGTATTACTAGGGAAGATGTAGGGAAGAGAATACTTTAGTTACTAATGAATAGATATAAATTTCAGTCATCTGTGCTGCTTTTCAAAATTAAAATCCAATTTCCAGTCAAATTGCAGTGACCACCTTCAGGTCAGTTCTTACAGTGAAATAACCACGAAGGCTAATGTAACATTTATTATTTTTTTATACTCACACCAAAAACTTGTCCAGCAGTTATTTCCCTTGGTTGTTTCTGACCATCAACTTTTTCTATCACTAAAAGTTAATTTATTAGCAAATTTATTTTCTCACAAATTTCACAAAATATAAACTGTTAATTCGATATTTGGCTATAGGGGTATAAGATAGGTAAGATCTTTAAGTCTTCAGTCTTAAATCAATTAGGTTTATGCAAAAAATATATTATCGTTAAAAAATTACTCTTAAATTGGAACCAACCTACATGTTCCCGTTAAGACAAAAAACATCCCATCCGAAGGCAGACCTCTTCTTGTAATAACTCGATTATATCGGTATCTGGAAGCAAATTTAGTAATTTAATTAATTGAAAGTTTTGGTTCTGCTTTATTGTCTACATAGAGACCGAAAACGGCAGGAGAGTGTGTCGACAGCAACAAGTTTTTAAAAACATGAGCACAGAGAGACACAAGAACTGATATATTCCTGATCGTTACTTTTTTTTTTATCGTGTTATAAGGATTCCTTGTGTGGTATTCCAAAACATAACACCCTATTGTACATCCTGTTGTCTCTATTTTTAACTTTCGAGATGTGTATTTATCTTGCTTTAATGGATATAATAATATTTCAGACCGGGTTTTTTCTTGCAATCTGTTTATCATAACTGATTTTATATCAATGTTTAATGTATAACACACTGTAGAATACTTGCAGTACAATTTACACAATAATTCGCAGCAGCTGTGTTGCCAATAAATTTAGCAGTTTACTGTTAAAAGAATTCTGTTAAATAAATTTAGCTGTTAAAACTTTCTCTGTTAATTTACAGAAGTATCATTTGTGTTTGGGGTTGTAACTTTACAGAAGTATCATTGATATTGGTAGCTGGAATTCTGTAAACCGTAAGTGACAAATATGAAGGATGAAATGTGATTAATGAATTTATTCAATTCTCATACGAGCAATGAAAATTAGGTTGGTATAGATCCCTACAAACTAACTGCGCAAACCGCCCAACCAAATTAGCATTACTAATATTTGGGCTTATAAGATTTCATACAAAGGAATGAAATATATTGCTCACTTAGCCATGTCCATTTTCGCGCCATATTTTACTAGCGATTGGCCGGTTAGTTGGTTGAGATTTTGTAACAATGTTAAGAAATGAGTTTTGGAATACTTACTTATCAAAAAATGATATCTGTGAAATTTTCTTTTGCACTGCTAATGGATATTTACAAAATTCTTTACAAATGGCTTTAACACATCGTAAAATCTACAAGGAAATTAAAACATTTAAGTAATCGTTATATCCATATATATATATATATATATATATATATATATATATAACAAAAAGTTCCATAAGAAAATTCAATTTGACAATTCCCGACACAGATTGATATTAATGGAAAAAATAGTCAACATTTTAGGACGTCTTGGTTGAAGATATGAAAATTTCTCGTTCCATGTCAACTCTAAAATGAGATAAACTACAAACCTTGACAATTTGTTCTGGTGTTCTAGTGCCTGGAGTGTTTTTCAAAATATTTCTGGTTTCATCATTCAACATGTGCTGAAATATTGAAAGAGCATCGTTGTTTACTATTTTTATAATAAAATATTTGTTACATTCTATCAACATTTAAGTACTACATCTTTAGTTCTAGAAAAAATGTGACACTCACAAAGAGAAACATTTATCTATATGCTACATGGGTTACTGAATCACAATAGTCTGCTTTAAAAGTGCTGTGTTCAGATTTCCGTCCAGAAGAGACACCTGTTCATTGTGAAGACTTTTACGACTTATCCACTTGACCTCCAAGTAAAGGCGAGACGGCCAAAAATTATGCACTAAATGGTGCAAAATATCCTTGAATGATTAAGTCAAACTAATTACCTCTGAAATATAGTCCCTTTTAAATTTACCGACATCGAATGTCAACTGAATTAACTCCCTTTCTTCGTTAGGCACAAACGTTACGAAGGCTCTAGTAGGCTTTCTTTTGTGTACCAATGCTTTGGCAGCCATTAAATTGTCAATCAAAGAAAACCATGCCTCCTTCTTCATTTGCGCCATAATAGATCTGAAAATCAGAAAACCTGTTGTGAGGTTTAATAACACACATTCTCTGAGAAAAACAACAAAAGTCGTAGGTTTTAGAAGTCATTTTGACATAGGTTATATAATCAAATGCATAAAAAGTCATAAAAACAGTCAAGAAATCAACTTTTTGGTATGCTTGCGAATTTAAGTTGGTGGCATCGTTCTTGAATCAAACAATGACCTACAGTTCTTGTGCTCATCTTATAATTCTTGTTTATCTGCTCGTTGCGTTCTTTTAAATATGATTTACTTACTTTTTGCAGGCATTACATACTCGGATCATTAACAAAATAGATCTGGCAAGCTTTCGAAACCTTATGTACGCCTGAAATACAATGAGAATCAGAATGAATGTATTTAACATTCAATTGATGTGACATACTTTAATGTGCATCGGAGTTTGTCCTTTCGCCATAATTATCTTAAAGAAGGACTATAATCCAGTACGGAAACAGTATAATACCACTATGAAAACAGTAATCCATCGGAAGGTCAGTCAAAGGGCGGAAATTTTAAAAATATTCGATGTTTTTCATCAAAATGATGTTTTCTTTCTTTCTGATCAAGGGCTATGGAATCTATCGTTTTTCTGTGATTCTGCTTTTACCGAGTTTTCAAAGACTTTTGTAGTAAAATAGAGGCAAATACATGTAATTGTCAACTATATCTCGTATTGTGACTACATTTGAAAACTTTATCAATTAACTCTACCTATTCGCGCGAAAAGATCAATTTTATTGATCCTATTTCATACAGTTATGATGGCAGTTAGCCACGCCCCTTCTGCGCGAGTTGCTATTGCTCTGCGGAAAAAAAGTTTGAACTTCAAGTGATATGGTTGCAGACTACCTTAAAGTAGCATGATATTTACTGGTATGGATGTTCTTTGAGAAAACTTGATTCTATAATGTTGATGTCACCTCCTGCGATTTCCGAAATTCTATGCATTGCGCAATTATTGTAATTCCGGTAGTTGTGGTTGGAATGAGCACAAGTCTCTACAATCAAGATTATGAAATAAAATTGAACCCATTTGGTTTCTATTAAACCCACGGATCGGTGAGAAGAAAGATTTCCGCAAATTAATGGTCAAACTTACGTTACTAGTATTTAAGGAATCAATAGCTGACATTCGGCAATATCTAGTCAATAAATCCAAAATGCGACCTTTTAATATTACAGTCAATGTTAAGATTGAACTTAAATCTTCTGTAATTGTATACCTATTTTCTTATTATCGTTTTTTAATCTCTAATAATTGATTATCTACTCTAATCTGATCCCTAGATATTGTTTAAAGGGGGCACTTACCCGTTTGGGACGAGGTGTTTTTCCAAATAGATTAAATGTGCGATATATGTGAACTAATAAAAACCGAATTGTAAATCCATCATGGACATTTACTAAAAAACTCTTTATTATGCTGTGCAATTCTTTATTCTAACGAAATTAAAATAATGCAAATAGAAGGTGAAAGGTCATCGAAATTTCACACGCCGACCGACAAAAGATTCAACAACCACCATTTGTTCGACGTAACCCAAAGCCATCAAGCAATATAGCGTCATGTAAAGAACCAGCGCTGTTCAGTGTTACCGATACTTACTCAAATAAACACCAACAACACTATTTAATTCATATGGTCATGATATATTGAATTTTTGTCCAGAAACTAAGCATTGTGCAGGCTTTCATGTGACCTATTCGAAGGTTTTCAAAGAAACTTCTTGAAAAAGTTATAGAAGTTTGAATTTCGAGATTTAACATGGAAACAGATGGCAAATGAATTACTGTGGTGTGTCCTAATCTCTCGATTTAGCTTGGGTTGGTCACGGTTATGGAAAACTCGTGCCGATCTCTTCTTTATCTTGCCAAGAAATCTCTAAACATGGTTCTCATTGGTGTGGGAGAGTTTTGAAGGTTCAAACCTTAAAACCCCTTCTGGCTTTGAAACTATAGGACCGAACATAGAAAAAAACGCAGGACCGCACTTTAATCAAAGCCATTTAACATACAACATATTGAATTTCTTAACAAATATTTATATTTATATCATCATAAAATACTAAATCCATGATTATCTGTTAAAAAGTTATCTTGACATGTACATATAAACTTGCCCATTAGAATTTAGCATGCTGTCTTTGGCAGAGTGTCTTCAGCCAGTCTAATAATTACTAATATAAAGAGCTAAAGAATAAATGGACTCGTAATATATTGAATGGGTAATTTAAGCGGATCTCTGAACTTACTTTTTTTTGGGGTATAGGTATCAAGTCTGCTAAACGTGGTTGCTTTCTGCCCAAACTTCGAATTTTTGATATTCGTTTTCGGCGAACGCTCTCATCATATAGTTTATTCTTTTGTTGAAGGGTAACGGCCTCTCCAATAAGTGATTGAAGTCTAAACTTCTTGGTGTACGTAAAAGCTTTTTCAATCAAAGATTCAGAACTCATGTCAGAATCATCGGTGCAGTCGTCAGTCCCGGTTCCTGTGGATGGTGTATTAAAGCAAAGTCTACGCCGATCCATGATAGCTGGAAAAGAAATAATAACCTTTATCTTATCTTTGAAACCTACAGTTGCAGTTGCTGTTTTCTTCTAAAACAGGTTCCAGTCCCGTAAAGATCTATCAGTATACTGCATAATGTTTCGCTAATCGAACGTAGTGCAGAACGATTTTAAAACTGGAAATAATTAAACTTGTTCTAAAAGACAATTCAATATTGGTGATCGCTAACGTTAGATAAAATGGCTCGACTGAAAAAATGACCAACTGTACAACCGCGCAATCATATGGATGTCCAAGATTCTTTTCAAACTATTTCAGTCTATTTCTACTCTTAAAGGGACAGATGTGTCATTTTGGGGGATTGACTTTAGTGTGGAATATTATGTAAATAGTCTTCAGAAGTACTAGAAATGTATGAAAATCGCATAATTCCTTTGAAATACTTCAAACTAGGAATTTTACTCACTATTCCTGTATATGTCTTTTCTATATATCTATTTAATCGACATGCATGGATTTGAAGGCTCGAATTTCGACAGTGAGCTGTCACTTTAATTGATACAGACAGTTCATTCAAAAACTTGAATGGTGGTCAAATCGTGAAATGAATTAAATTTAAGAATAAAATGATGAAATAAACTATACCTACAGGAAGTTTTCGTTCGGCGTTCAGCTATCCATACACTTATCACTATTAGAAACAGTTAACTATTCACAAATTTAGTCAATACTGAATATTTTATTTTATTCAATGTATCAAGTTTTAATAATTATCTGGGTTCGGGTTACATCTAAATCATTGTACTATATGTACGTCTATATTTTGGTCATAAAATCTTCGAATACATTTCATGTAGGGTTTTGATAATAGATATGCTCAAACATTATCCAATTATTATATTATATTATTATATTATCCAATATCAAGTTCATGCAAGTTTTAAAAGCAAGACCAAAATTCTGTATTGTTTTGAATTTTTACATGAGGTATATTATCATTGTGTTTTACACCAATTTTTCGGAAGAAGTAGATTTTGTCATGAAGGGCAAGAGGTATCTATGCAAAAGTATCGCTTGAAAGTCGTTTTTTAAAAAACGTTAAAGGTGTCGTTTGAGGGACGCTATACGTTCAGCATTATATTCTAGGGACCTATTACAGAAATTGCCAAAAAATGTAGTCTTTTTGAGATAATACTCTTGGTCAATAATACTACTTGCAGCAACTTAGCTTAAATGTCTTATGCCCTCTCTTTTTAAAGAGTTAAAAGAAGGTGCAGTGTGAGCGAGAGACAATCCTAGATAAGAACAGAAATGAAGAATTATATATGTCTCTTAACTTAATGGCATATTTACAGTGGATTTGCAACAGACCACAATCGTGCATGAAAATTGACGTATTAAACACCTATTGTGTACGTGTGTATGTATTAAATAATGTTTCAAATTACATGTACAAACCCAAAAGGGTCATGTAGTGGCGTTACTGATATTAAAATTTGTTAGCTATCTTACCTGAATATTCTAAGAGACAACTTCTTATATTAAATCATCATATCATATCCACGTATATTAACATTTGTTTTACGTATATTCCAATTCATTTATTACAATTTCAGTTCAGTTCATTTGACATGATAGATATGTAGAACTGCAGGTTGTCAGAGTTATTTCTGACCTACCTAACGATTAGGTAGAATGGATTTGGATTAACGTAATCCGACAATCATTTGTAATCCTCCGGTAGGAAAGTTCAACTGGATAACGACACATTATATTTCTTTTAAGCCTCCAATTTTATCACACTGCATTAAACAGCTGAATCATTCCATAGAAGCAACTGTACATTTGGTAACTTGGAATCGCCGTGTTCGATAATAATAGTAAAATTTCTGCTTTTAACTGTAGAGTTAAGCTATATCTTTTACATCAAGTTTCCCTTTATTTTCTCGCGAATTACAAGATAGAAAGTTCAACCTAAGAGTTAGCTTTCCAGATATTTCTTTCCGGGATCCTCCTTTGAATTTCAAAGAGATAGTGCCATGGAAACGAGTAGCTAATACAAACTATGGGAAGAATATCTGACTCTTCAAGTTCATCAAGGTGTGCGATAACCAAAAGAAAAAAAGAACTAAAAGTCAGCACTGTTTAACTACTCTTAAACGTTAGGATTTCATATAAATTAATTCATTTATAATATAGTTGAGGTGGATAATAAAATCTCTCCAGCTAAGAAATGGTATTGCTATCAAAGTTTGAAAGGTCCATTCATGTTTTAATCATTTACTGATATATTTACACCATGAATACAGACAATCGTAATGTAAATCAGAAGAATCACAATTGCTTGTAGACCTTGAAATTGGCCCTTTGTTCTCATAGAAGATTCAAACACGCGATCTTAAAGACGATCACTTAGAAGCTAAGGCGAAATCACTAATCTTACAAATACAATGTAAGTTAAGCCTTCCACAATTTGAAATATCTGGTAGATGGCAGGAAGGAACCATATATCTGAAATACGAAGAGTATGTATATGACATCGATTTTTGATTATTTGCATTAAAATCAAACATTATTGATGTTAACAGCAATAAAGAGTTGTTAAGGGAAATTTTTCGTGGTCAGATTGAGCATAAGTTATATTAGTTAACTAATTATAGAAACGTACGACAAAGGATACATGGAAAGTGTTGTCGGCAAATCTTATTTCATTCATCGAATAATTTGATGACCTAACAATTTCGTAAGATCATGGATGGCAAATGGAATCACAGAAAAAAGACGAAATGAAATTTTGATTGGATTGCTTACCACTCTCACTGTTTACAGAAACGTTCATAGTCCAAATGAATTATACATACTTATTTCATAGCAGAACTCTCTCATTGAAATGACAATAAAGTTGTAAGAATAAGATAAAATTGGTAATTAAAAAATCATGTAAAATCTAAAGATTTATTTTAGGATTAAGATTTTCAGATTTTCTTAAATGGAAACAGGTAATAATGTTTTAAAAATAAGATAGAATAAAAGTATTTTTTCTAGCCCATCTTTGCACCATTCTGGTCTCTGGTTTCAAATACAACTCCTGTCTTATTTTTGTCTGTCGTGGGTACTTGCATTTGCACCCCCGATGCTCTTAGTTGCAAATGTCGTTTGGTTTGATTATATTACAAAAGTGAAGGGAAATCGGAGGAAAATTAATATAAACTATACAGTGTTCAAAAACGCGTCCAAACGCTGGAAGACAACTCTTGAATCCCTTATTATCGGCTACTAATACCACTTTTATTGATTAAACCCTAAATCTTGACTCTCCTCCAACTGCAATGAAGGTGCTTACGGTGATCTTGCCTTTGTATAGAAGGTGTAATTTCTTTCAAGGTCTAGGAAATAGATCATGCTGGTCATCTTTAAATCTGATCAATCGATTAAGATCGATATAAATTAATGATAGGTAATCCTTTGATCTCATGAATAAGCCAGTATCTTACATGATATGGGATTGACAGGGTCAAAGTCAGTCTAGTCAAATCTATTTAAAGTATATTTTGTAATTTGAGGTACATGAGTCTCTCTGACACAGACTAATCCAACTGAGACCTCCCATATTCGTGACTCTTTAAGGCTTCTGGTTGACTTGGGAATAACTTGATTGAACAACTGCTGAGACAAGTGCTGAATTAAGTCGACCTTGATGCAATGGAAGTTCTTTATCAGCAGATTTTCGTCTTCCAATTAATAATTGGATCGGATTATCAACCTGAGCAGTCGGAAACGGATGTTGACGGATCCGATGAGATACTATGACTGCAAATCGACCTTACCCCAGCATTTAAAGGTGTTGCGTGTATGAGATGATTGGTGTTTTGGCAACAAAAAATCAAATATTAATGTTTTAAGTTACTGATACAATCAAAATACGCCAGCTTGATTAACTTTTATTACGGCTGTAATCAAGCTGGGTTCACACTAGACAAAGCAACACTGTTATAGATTTAATATTATTCGATTCCATTACTAATAAATATCAATAATGACAAAATTTACCGGTAGGGTAAAATTGTAGCCCGTATAGTGAGCACAAGGCAAATATGAACGGGCGGACCGACCGAACACAAAATCCAATTTCCAAAGCAACATATACATATAGCAGCTAATGAACTTTTCACACGAGGAAGTAGGCCTATATCAATCATAAGTAAGAAATTCATATTGAAATAAGGAAAAGTGGTATCGGGTGTCTAGAAGAGTAAGCAGACCCAGTAAGCATGGCGCAGAATTCGCCTTTGATGCGGAACAAACACAACAAGGAAGGTAACAACAAATAATAGTGACGTTCTTATTACATAATTTTATGGACTTGACCTTAAAACTAGGACTTTGACTTCTCAATTTTAATAGTTCAAGGGAGATAAATATTTGTATTTGATTTTAACAATTGATGGGAGGGAACTGGTAGCTTCTAGAAAAAAACTCAACAGCTACAGTTTTGATTCTCCTTTCCCTTTGTAACCTCCTCCTGTATCATCAACATTTTTGGTACATGTAAACTCTTACTCATGGTTGATTGACCCAAATGACTTCATCACATGGAGGTTAATGTTTAAGTAAGAACCAATTCCCAAAGCCATGAATTATTAAATAAATTTTCTTCCTAAGTCACACCAATAACCCTTTGTTTTTCTTTTATCTAATGGCAAGTGAGAGATTAAGTCTACGTTGATAGCAACAATGCTGGAAATAAATACATGACCATTATGTGAACTATTAACAACAACAAAATTGAATGTTAAAACACTCGTGCGTCTCATACTACTGGATTTGACAGCGTTCTAAACAAATCTAGGCTTACATTTTAGGTTCTAAACTTTTATGTAAGTGAATATCATGATCTGAAATTTAAACCTTTATTTCTTTTATTTGAAGTGACAGGTTTACTATGCACAAGTGTTCGATCCTATGTTTTACCGTTTGATAATCTATAGTTAATATACTCTTAAACAATGAGATTTATTTATTTAAGTGTCATGATGGGCCACTGGTAATAGCTTGTCGTTTAGCAAGATGTTTACTTAGTAGACTGTGAAGTACATGTCAAGTTTTCATTTTCATTACTTTACCCTAGGAGTCCGAAATCTTTAATATCATGAGGTCATTACAAAGGGGAACAGAGTCGCGTAGGCCACGGCGTGGTGTCAGGAATCCATTTAGATCTAAGGAGTTTCTTGAAGAGATGGACTTAAAATGGGAAATCGTTCGCGAAGTATACCACAGTTTCTATGATTCGGAATATGCTAAGATCTACGAAGCGTCAAAGAAACAAAATCGGAAACAGTCCATGGTAGATAGTGTAACGTCATCCAACAGTTTGGAGGAGAAGAATTTTCCTAAAAGACGTGAGAGTACTTTAAGGAATGTACAACCAGTTCTTTCCCCAGTAGTTGAAACCAAAACACCATCAAGCTTATCCTCTATTACTCAACCACCTTCAAGAGAGCTAACAGATTTAGGAGAAGTAGTTGCAACAAAAGACTATTCAGATGATCTCAAAAAACGTACTTCAGCAAATCATTCCTCATCGTCATTGGCACCTGACCGTGTTGGTCTAATCAATAGTGAGGATAGGCAGCAAATAGAGGATAAACCCGAGTTTGGAATACGCCACGACAAAGAGACATCTTGGATAATTCAAACACCAAGTCTTACGTCAGTGATTGAGGATTCATTAGATACAAAGGACGATGTTGGTCCCTTTCAGAAGAAAAAACCATCGGTATGTAAAAATATTATATTGATTTGCACTACTGGTGCCTTTTCGGCTGAACATACTGCATTTACTTATTTTTTAACATGGAACTTTCTAGATTATCTTTCAATACGAATTGTAAATTTAATGTTTTTTCAGCCTTTAAAAAGATTCAAGAAAGCTGTTCGAATAGTAATAATTATTACTAAATGTGTTATGTCCAATCGGTAAGAAAACATCTCACCTATCTTTATCTAATGCAAATTGAATGTAGGATCTCTTATTATTATTGTGCATGGTATTTGACTGCCATGTGTCCTTGATTCCTAAGGATACTTTTTTTATTTCATGCAAAAGAATCGTGAGCATAAAGCAACATCAGCATGGTATTTGGTTTTTGTCATGACTAAGCAAACTCCCGACTTCATAAGAATTTTATCTAACCTAATTTGAGCATTGCCTTTCTTTTATAGGGAACGATCGAAAAGAACTGAGAGAAAATTACTGTCCTGGACACAAGTACACGATGATCTCACCTCACATCGGACAGCTTATGAAAGATATGGTTTAACGTTTGACCCTACAATATTTAAAGTTACAAGAGAGGTATGTCTACGAATTGTTTTCAGTTTTTTCCTTAGCGTTATAAAAAGCAGCGTCTCTGGTAAGTTAATATATAGAAGATCAGATGTAGGAACCGGAGATATCTATCAATCTTTTAACAAGAGTGAAATGATAACCAAGTCGTCAGATGTAACACTGAGCAAGAGCAATATTTTGCGTAGTTGGGATCAGAAATTGTTTAATTGTCAAACTGTACGTTTCAATCTTTTCCATTTTGAAGGCTCAAATAAGCAATGAAGTTAAAGCGACCCTGAAAAACGACCCGTCATTAAGGACGGAAGAACAGAGAAGAATAGCCCTCCTATATCTCAATACATATATTGAAGTTTTTGGGGAGTATCCAGTGAATATGCAGAAAGCTTTGGTGAAAGTCGGATGGTATGAATTGTAAGTAATCTCAATTACTGTTCAAGATATGTTCTACAGCTAAGTGTAGGTTGTTCGTGTATGCAATTGGTTCATTAGGATCATCCTGATAAATTCAAGATTCTTGCTTTTAGAACTATTACGATTGTTTTTCTTCGTTCAGTAGATATAGCTTGACTATTGTTTATTTAGTATATATTTCCTTTCAGCTTCGATGCTAAAAGAATTGTCATAAGAGAAGGACATTTTTCTGAAAATTTCTACCTCATACTCTCAGGCTCAGGTGATTTCAGTTTTTTACCATATCTCTCTGTAGCAGTGGACATTTTAGCACTTAAACAGACTAAGAATCATTCATTAAATAGAATGAGAATTCATGCCGCGTATTCTCGAAACCACCTTAGCGCTAGGATACCTAGGGTCCGACCTTTTCACTGTTTCTAGAATACCCTAGCACTAAGATCGTTTCGAGAGTATGTAGCCTGCATCCTATATTTCCTACCTATCTCCAATGAATAAAAGGTACGTTTTCTTAGGAAAAAAAAAAAAAGGATTGCGTCTTATTATCGAAGGCTTTACTATGTTTGATTTGTGGTTTTCAGCCGTTGTAACTATCTTGGATAAAGATGTTAAAACAGGAGAAGTCTACTCTAGGACGGTGGCTCTGTTGAAGAAAGGTAACAGTTTTGGGGTTAGTAGTTCATAGTTTATTGATGAATTTGAGCTTGAAAACAGTTACACCAAAACTATGAGATGCCACTAAAGAACAACCTCTTGTTAATGATCTTCCGTAAGGAATCCGGTATTTCAACGTTAAAAACATGCAAATCCATCATGCTTGATTGAAAAACAACCTAATATGCATTGCTTGTAGGCTAGTGCCAGATGATCCCGATCATTTGTGGACATAGGAGAGGTTAACCAATAGATTTCCAGAAACGTACTTAGTTTCCTACCTGCAAATGCATTATATTCCTATTTCCGAAATAATTTTTAGGAAATTGGTTTGATGCGAGGATCTAAACGTACCGGCACAGTAACATGTCGAGAGGATATGGAAGTTCTTACAGTCGGACGTCAAGATTTCATTGATATATTTATGTATATTGAACACGATAAGGAACCTAGTCATATAGAGTACCTCAGAACTATTGATGAATTAGATGGTTGGCCCATAGAAAATCTACCCTATGATGATCCTAGAATATGTTTATTTACCTACTTTAGGTATGGCCAATATTTAAAATTATTTACCTTATGTTTCTTTTATAATTTATCCAAAACGATAATACGAGCTATGGGGAAGGTGTATTTGTATTTATTGTTTAAGGGAAATGATCGAATACTTCGCTCATCTCAATTTCATATACCAATATTGGTTACAAGAGTTTGTGATTGAAGGTTGTATAGGTGAAAGCCTGTTCAATAATCCCTTTACTATTTCTATATGTTTGGTGAATAACGTTAACCCTCAATCTTTCAATGGGGTGATTTGACGAGAGCTCATCCTACGTTAAGACAAGCGTGTTAAACAATCCTGCCAATCAAATTACCGTAAACTGATTTAACAAAAGTTATATAACGCACAATTTGGTATAGATAAACAGATATATATTTGAGCAGGATTTGGTTCTTGACTACAGACCTGATTAGACATTTATTTATTTGTTTTTAGACGAGGTGTTCTCTTGTGTAAAGATAGCAATACGTCAGATTGGATCTACATCATTAGAACTGGTTCGTGCCGGGTGTTAAAATCATTAAAATCTACCAAACCAAATATACCATTTCTCAGTCTTCATAATTCTAAATTAAACTTGAGTAAAGGTAGGTACTATAGGTCTGAATTCTATGCAAGCAATATTTTCTTTGTGTGTGTTTGTGTGTGAATAGAAATTGTTTAGTTCGGGACATATTGACATCTTGTCCATATAATCTTTAAAATCAATGTATGGTCAGATGAACTGAAATTTTATCTTCAGGTAATCTGGCATCGAAATCTCTGCAAATTCGCAATTCTGGATGTCAATGGCGCCACGAAGTTCCAAGGTCACCATTTAATGCCAAGCCAGTTCTACCAAACATCAACATCGGCAAGTCTCAAGATTTCCTACAAGAAAGTAGGATTGATGGTAATTGTATATCATTTTCATAAAATTAATTTTCATCAGTTGACAAAATAATCTTTCCTGTTTCCAATGTTTGATTGATTTGTATCACCAATGAATACACAATATGATTTATAATTTATTAGGTGAGAATACAGTACGGCATATCAATGAGCTGAACAGTATCACAAGTGGAGCCGAAGATTTAAATTCTTGTTTACCAAAAGAAGAGTCGTTACCAATAACGCCTCACGATATCACATTTGTAGAAATTCAGAAATTGGGACCAAGAGATATCTTTGTGAGTATACAATTTCTCAGTTCAACAAGGTAGTATATATTTGCATGTGAATGTTCATTATGTCGTGTAATAATTATGTGGTATTGACCTGTGGAAAGAATTTGCATCTTATGGGCTATCTAACTCTTTGGACTAAAATTCGAAACCTGAAAACATTGGTTCAAAGATCCTTTAGTTTACCATTACGAGTTCCTACCGTTTCAGCATCTTTACCGTATCTGTACCTTAACTGTAACTTACCGCGTATTTTCGCTTGCATGATATTCTAATCCTATATCGTCTATTCACAGATTTAGAAGAAAAAAACATACTTTTGGTTGTCAGAAAAATATCATGATGTCGTAGTTAGTAAAACATGAAACTATAAAATAAAAATAAAGGCCATAATAGGTAATATCGGAAACAAAGTCACTCGCAATAATGATACATTACAAACAAATCGCTAAAATAAGTTAAATAAGGATGTGTGCATCTGTTTCTATTGCTGGCAATTCTTAACCTTTTTCAAGGGTTTAGAAAATGTTCTGTTTGGAAGTATGAGGCCTACCACCAGTTCTAGTCTAGTATCAGAAGGAACAGAATGTATTTTGATCAGTAAAAAATTCTTCACCAGTCATTTATCAGAAGCTGTAACTAAAATCATGAGGAGGAAGGTAAGTGATCTCATTTTCATTACATGTGGTAGAGCAAAACCTCGGGAACAATGACTGTAAAATTATATTTCACATTCCTATGCAGGTAACTGTTTCTTTGTCTGTCAAGCAATAACGGCAATTTTCTGTTTTTGTTGGTTTCAACTTCTACTTGTGTGGAATTTTGCACACTCATTTGAAAGATAAAGACCGTCAACATTACGCATTTGCAACAAGAAACTTCTTCTTTCAGATTCGTCCATTACCTCCCAAATCAGTGTTACAGAAAAATCTTCAGATAAAAACCAATTGGGAGGCTTATAAAGATTTTACTGTAACTAATACGCTCTTACAAAGACACCAACTTCGTCATTAACAACTAAAGTGATGCCATATAATGATGATGTTTTATTAACGTATAAAAGCCACAGACACATTATACAATATAGTAGACATATATGATATACTTCAAACAAACTAAATTCTGTCCTCTTCTTCAACGACAAGATTGTAGCATGTGTTCGACATTAAAATGTTCAACTTCTGTTTGGATAGTTGGGATGGATATTTATAATAACATTGGGGTATTAGTTGCGACCTTAGCTCTTCATAAAAAGAACTGATAAAGAGAGAATGGTGTTCTGATTCCACATACTGCCAAATACAGGAAGGACAAAGCCGTTTGCATCTTGTTAAACCAAGTTGCCTGCCCTTTTCAATCAATAAAGAGTGGTTTGAGCACCTTAACTTACATAAAGTCATACGATGTACTTTAACATTGATATTAAAATATATCAAAAGTCTAATTTTGACACTTCGTATTTTTTCGTGCCATACTTGTTTATAGATTTCAATCTTTGTTTGAACAATTTGCTGAATGAATTATCAACTGATTGATTGCACCAAACCTCAGCAAACCCGTAAGCTAGATCATATTGATATTGATATATTATAGATAATATTTTCTTTTTGATTAACTAATTTAATCCAGTACTTGATTAATCTGTTATATAAATTGACAGTCAGAGTATGCCGACCAAGTTCTATAAAACATCATCATATAGTGAAAGAACTACCACTATTACAATATGCTTCTGTGGCTGGGTGTAAATTATGATATTGTATGATAATTGGTTCCAATCTGACGTCCCCCCCAGTGCTTCGGAGTTAAGAATAGGTCCGCTGTCCCCCATGGGGTGTCGTAAGAGGCGACTGAATTGGGGCTCCTCGTTTGCATATACATGTACATCACTTTGGGCCAGTAGATTCCTAGGCGGATGGCCAGTGTTATTTACTGATTCGTCTAATTCAGTTAATTCAGTTAATTCAGTTTCTTGTCATTGACAGTAATGACCCTGGGAAGTCGTTATCATCACTATCTCCTTTTGCAATTGCCAAAATTTAACCAAAATCTATCAAATATTTTCGCAACGGGTCTCTATTGATCGAATATTTTCGTAGAATTTATTCTGAATTGCTATTGAAATCTGCCAACTTGGCAAACATTCCCATTCAAGTTTCTGCATTTTTTTTTATCGTATTCAGGCGCTATAAAGCCCGCTTTGGTGTTGATGCACCTGAATACATTTCATTTCATTTCATTTCCAATCTGACATTGGTAAATCAATAACATTGTTATGCTTCTACTTCTTCTGGGATGCATACCAAATGAAACATATTAACTAGCTTTATTGCAAAGTTTGGTAAATGACACAAATGCTGGATCATTAATTTCTTGAAATTATTATAATTGAAGAATTCAAACGGTTATTTGCAATTTTTGTCACCTTCAATACAATGACAAAATTTAAACAACATAATACACTTAATGGAATTATTATGTAATATTCTTTAATGCCACAAAAACTGTTAGCAGCAACACTGCTACGTTAATTGTAATACCCGCAGCTGGAAAAAAGAAATAAATATTTTATTATGGTATTACAGATGCAGCTCAATACCACTATTATGTTTTCAACATGTTTTGGCAATTTAATTTTGAATACGTGAGTTCTTTTAATTGATTTTTGACTCCAGAGTTCCAGTCTGAATGTGATGCAGACAGCCGCACTGAATTTTATTAACACTGTTTCTTATTCTAAGATTACTCAGTGAAAAGGAAAGAAAAAAGTGGAATTAGACAGATGTCATCCTTTAACAACCTACCTCCACATTTGTAGGCGACTTCGCCTTTAATAATAACCGAACCCATATCATATGGTACTGTACATAGAGCTCTCTCAACACAGTGTTGATAACTGTCTATAGATCTAGAAAATCAAGTACTAATGCTACTGATAGGAAGAGCAATGATGATGATGATGATATGATGATGATGATGGTGGTGGTGGATAGCCTGAAACATGAAGTGAAAAGGAGTAATACGCCATTCCGAACCTAAAAATACCCTGGCAATATACGCCATTCTGAACCTAAAAATACCCTGGCAATATACGCCATTCTGAACCTAAAAATACCCAGCAATATACGCCATTCCGAACCTAAAAATACCCAGGAATATACGTCATTCTGAACCTAAAAATACCCAGAAATATACTCCATTCCGAACCTAAAAATACCCAGGAATATACGTCATTCTGAACCTAAAAATACCCAGAAATATACGCCATTCCGAACCTAAAAATACCCAGCAATATACGCCATTCTGAACCTAAAAATACACGGTAATATATGCCCTTCTGAAGTTGATTTGGCTCAGATGACTCGTGCAGGTGAAGAATTATTTTCCCAGAACAGTGGCAAACAAACTTAAAACAAATTTTTTTCGTGCACAAACAAGACCTCGGGATTCCCATCCGAATAACAAGACATCTTTTCCACACCAGCTCCTCCTACCCGCTTTAGCGACAGGGCTGGATAAATGGGTGGAATTAATATTTCAGTAATGATACACTGATACACCTAAAAACACATAACAATATACGCCATTCTGAACCTAAAAATACACGGTAATATATGCCCTTCTGAAGTTGATTTGGCTCAGATGACTCGTGCAGGTGAAGAATTATTTTCCCAGAACAGTTGCAAACAAACTTAAAACAAATTTTTTTCGTGCACAAACAAGACCTCGGGATTCCCATCCGAATAACAAGACATCTTTTCCACACCAGCTCCTCCTACCCGCTTTAGGGCTGGATAAATGGGTGGAATTAATATTTCAGTAATGGTACACTGCTAAAGCCACCTGAATTATCACTTTGCGAAATGGAGAAATTGAACGGCAAATATTAAATCGCGTCACGTACAGTTGTGCTCGAAAGCTAATGATGAAAAGTGATACAGTGAGCTACAATTAGAAATAAATATTAGATACTCACTGACATAGTTCAACTATATTTTCACCAGCATCTTCAATTTCCCTGGTGTATATTGTCTTACATTCTTCCCTTTCGCGTTCAACACAATTTCCATTACACGTTTGCAACACACTGCTGATGACTGAAAATACATTCGATCATTAGAATCTTAGATAATTACGTAAGGAATTTTACTGTGTCCAATGCAGTAGCCTATCTTCCGTGCGTATATTCATATGTATATCGTACAGGGAAAATTTGCGTTAGCTACGATCACAAAATATGGCAGATGCAAACATTGTGGAATTTGACTTCATGAATTGGGGTTTTGTTAATAGTTTGGAACACAACCTTCCCTATGCATAGAGAATTGAACTACGAAGCACAGGCTACATCATTCTGTTTGCAAAGAAATACGAACATTATTTACAACGAAAATATATCTTACAAACACTGTGTTGTACCAGACCAATAGTTTTGTGGATACCGGTTGCTCTACAGTATGCTAATAATGTATCAAGAGACAAGATGATTTTACTGAAAACTTTAATTGTACTAGTGTTTGTGGTGCGCACAGTGTATGAACCGATATATAGGTGCAATAAGAATTCTTACACTCGGTACGGGTTTTAAACACGATTCGCATCTTTTATTTTTTGTTGCATCGAAAAATTTCGCTCCGTTCACAGCACCGAAAACCATACCTACTCTATGAGCTCCTTTAAATGATACAAATGTTATAGGATGAAATACTTACCTATAAGAACTGTCAGGACGATACAAGTCTTCATGTTGATACAAGGTGGACAATGTCACAGTATAAAGACGTTCTGTAGTGGACGTTCTATTAAAAGAGAACAATATTGCAGACAAAATGTTATTTTTAATTGGAGAACCATCCTACGTAATGTATTTGAATTGACATCAATTGGTTTGACAAAGACAAATAATTAAATGTCTCCGTCTACAGTCTGCATTGAATGAGGTTTCAATGAACTCTCTGTGAATCAGTCCAAAATGTGTCAATACTTTCGGAACACCTGATGTCACTGTATGACTATGTCTGTCCGCCGCTCCGCTTCCATTTCGGAGTGAAGCTTATAATGTTTATGGTATATCTGCGCATATGCATTTTCAGTCTATTTAAGACCCACATTCCCAATCTGGGAACCCTAAATAGGGAGTACCAGATAAATGTGAAACATGGAGTTAAAGATAAAGTAAAGAGTAGGAAGAGTCCAAATGTTAGGAACCAAGAATGTAAGAGCTTCTTGAGTTCGGAAAGGTATTGAAGAACTCGTGAATCAGATGAAAAATATATCGTTAGTGTAACAAAAAAAATGTCTAAACGCATTGTTGGTACACCATTCCGCCTACACGACTATCCGCCAGCAGTTCTATATTGCGACAGATGGAAGTCAACCCTAAACAGTTTTAAAAATCGTTGGATAGAATCGCACCATGAAGCTCTACATACTTCTTTCCATTATTGGTAAGTTTTCATTAATCTGTGCATTTTGTTTAGAGGTTCTACCTCGTTATCAAAGTTGGATTAGGATATCCATCAAGATTAACCCTCTAATGCTCAACTGAGTTTTCGTTTTGATTTGCCTGGAATAAATGTTTGATGACGTGTGAGATGCTTTTTAAAGACATGTTTTTTTTCTCTTATTTAGCTTTATTGCTTTTTTGCACCGCTCCGATTTCTATATTATAACATTACTTTAGCATATAGCAGCTATAGGTGGTCTCGATAGGTATTCAAAAGCTTTTTGGAATCCTTAAAAGCTGCAATTGACCGAATCTTGAGTGAATGTCAACTAATTTATTAGATTATATGGTCAACATACATTTATGGTGTTAGAAAACATCTTATTTATCTTTTATTTTCAGGATTATTCATATCTATGTCTAAAACAAAAAGGAACTGTGATGCCTCAGAAGCTGTTAAGTGTGGATCAGACTATAAAGCGGCACTTAAGAAAGTAGGCAACAACCAACATAAATTTTGTCTGTAAGTTTAAAATTCTCTTTGCCTTGAAATGATATCATGCCCCTAACTATCAGCTTCAAGAACTAATCCACTTTGACATCATAAAAATTTATTCTTATGCAACTTCTGCATATTCGGAATGGCATTCAAGTTGCTTCGTTATATTTTTTCCATCGCCGTTTTTGATTAATGGCAGAAGAAATTGAAGCAGTATTTCACTATTTCCTTTACCATTTGTGTGGACTATCCTGGTACTGCTACAAGTACCTAAAATTACTCGAAGCATGGATTGCTTTGGCAACTGATTTCTATATTTACCTATAACTTTCTCTAAGCCTGAAAGATTAAATTATTATGTCCCCTGAATCAAACTTTCAAACATTTCAGAACTTCTTTTATCAATAATATATTCTAAAGGTATAATACCTGTGAGTTCAACGATTTTTCTTTAAATAACTGGCCTGTATTATTGTTACTTTCAGATCTGTACACGGCTATTTAGACTGTTTAGATTGGAATGATTGTTTAACACAAGATATAAAAGATAAAGTTAAGGAAGTATTTCAGACAATTGGTATCAAATGTGGTGGTAGGTATCTTTAAAAAATTTATTACCAAACTGTATATTATATGCAATAGATATGTTCACCCAGAAACCATGCAAATGATAAAATACGAACAGTTTGCATTTAAAGACAGGGATGTATCGACGCACATGGGTGACCACAAAACAATCTATATTCAAGTGGAATTGAGTAAATCTTGGAGAGTAGAGAAGAGTCAAGACAAGACAGCGCGGTAATAAGTGGGGAAGCGAGGAAAAGGGGCAAGGATTCGAGAAGACTAAAACACAGGTGAAGAGTCGAGGACAATTTTTTGGGATTCTCCTCCTGTTTTCCTGACTTCCTCGCCCTTTTCCACTCTATCCCCTGAGCCAGCTTAATGTGACCCATTTGGTATGCCTATACTGGATGATGTTACTTAAATGCAAATTATCATTTCAGCTACTTCTTTGACGATGAGTTTGGCCGTCATATCAACCTCCCTCTTTGTCACACTGAAGAATATGTTTTAAGCAATCAACGGCGATAACTCATTTATAATCATTGGTGGCGATGGCCAAGTCCTAACATTGAGTAGAGTGATTTGTATTGATGAATTTAAATGTTTTCTGAATTTAAAAGATTACTATTTTTTTCTCCACATCTCAATTCTATACTTTTATATAATAGGAAATGTCTTTATGTTAATATGAGGTGTACGTTTGTCATCAACAATTGTTTTTTTTTTTCAAAACAATTGTATGTTTCATACTCCTTTACATATCTGTATAATAATAATAATAATAACTTTATTTAGCAACCCAGTTAGACAGAAGTCTAATTTTCAATAGGTCTCACTAAACTACAAATTATATACAAGATTACAGAAAGAATAAAATCACAGAAAATAACATAAAACATATATACTTTTACAATGTAACATGAATGAGGAAAGAAATATGAAAATGCAACCATGCACTATGTTTTCCCACGAAACTACGAATTGTATACTAAGTTTATAATAAAAATACAGAAAATTTCATAAAACATATATACATTTACAATGCATCACGGATGTGGTGAAAAACATTAAAAAATGTAAACACTGTGTTTCTTATATGATATATATGATGGTTTAAGTTTTTTAAGTAAAATGAATGGTGAGAAAAACTAAAGGACTGGTTATAAATGCTATGGAATCAATTAATCAGTATTGTCAGTAAGAACAAACTTCTCCAGTTCTTGTTTAAATGTATATGAAGAAGGATTATGTTTTACAGTTTGTGGTAATGAATTCCAAAGTAAAGAAGCTGTATATTGAAATGTTCTCATCATAGCAGTTTTATTACATTTCGGTATGTCTAAAGTTCGGAGTGTTTCTGATCTCAGTGTCATACTGGTTTCCGTTAATTTTGATCTTTCCGTAAATTTATTGTATAAATATTCAGGGTGTCCAGTTCGAAATATTTTGAATGTCATTATGCCACGATTATATCTAATACGTTGATACAGTGTCAACCAATTTAAAATTTTGAATAATGGTGCCGAAGGTGAATCTTGTTTTTCATCTAATATACTCCTTGCAGCGCGTTTTTGTAATTTGTATAAAACGTCTAATTTACTCTTATTGGAATTACCCCAAATTGTAGAACAATAATCAAAAAATGGTAAAATATAACTATTATAAAACATTTTACGTTAGCTTAATGGAATGCATTTTTTAATTTGACTGAGAAGGAAAATTTTAGAACTTATAATTTTTGACAGCTTTTTAATTTGGAAATCCCATTCAAGATGGTGGTCAACAGTAAGGCCTAATAATAGTTTAATACAGTATAAGTAACGTTCTCTATAGGTACATTATTTACAGTTAATGCTAATTATTTGTTGTTTGCAGATTGGAACCAATTAACAAAATCAGGACCAGTTGATTTCTTAAAATCAAGTGACAAAAGTAAATTAAGAACGTCCTTACATTTAATGTAATCAATTTTAAAATACTGATTTTGTGGAACTTTGTTTGAAACATGGTTTTCAATACAAGTAATATTTTCACGAGAAAGGGGTTTATAATTTATATTGTTTTAATACCATCGGTTATACTTGTAAAATAATTATTCATAACATCGGCAATGTCATTAAGGTCAGTATATTCCGTATCACGGTGTAAAATATTTTCGCAGGATAAGGATTAGTATTAATTTTACCCTTGGCTTCATTAAAAAAATGCCAAATGTTTTTCAGATCATCTTTCTCTTTCGAGAGTTTTTAATAAAATTAGCCTTTGATTTTGTGATTAAAGATTTAATTTCATTTCGCCAATATTTATAGAAGTAATTTTTGTTCTTTTCTTATAGTAATCTCTTAGTTTTCGCGCTTCCTGAATCTCGTCATTAAACCATTGTGGTTGGGAATGTCTCTTGACTCTACGGTGCCTCCTTGGAGCGTGAAAATCTAGAACATGATTAAAGAGCGAATACCAAGTTTCAATAGCAATGTTGGGGTCATCAATATGTTCAATACATGAGAAGGGTTGTCGCGAGAGATCAGCAAGAAAAGCATCTACATTAAAGTTTTTAGATTTTCTATATTCAATTTGAATATGTCTGTTTTTAGTCTGTTTTATATGAAAATCAAGTACAAATAAAATAGGGTAATGATCGCTAAGGCTATACACTGGGACATGAAGTTTAGAAATGGAGTTTGAAGCATTAGTATATAGATGATCAATATTAGTTGAAGTTGGTTGTTTGTACATCTGGTAGGAGTATCAACCATCTGTTCAAGGCCATAAACAGTTAAAATATTATCCCATTGTAATGGAAGCTCAAGTTTAAAGTCAATATTAAAGTCCCCTGTTAAGAACATTAAACTATAGGGGTTACTAGCTAAACTAAGCTGATTATCAAATAGATTATACCAATTAATCAAGGAAGAGGGTGGTCTATAAACAAAACATAATAAAAAGGATTGATTGTAATTAGGTGAAATTTGTAGCCATATTGTTTCAATGTTTCCTACTTCCAAGTTTAATCTCCTTTTAAATTTTATATGTGATTTTACATAAACAAGTAGTCCACCACCGTTTTCATCATTATTTCTATCTTTTCGAACAATTTTATAATTGGGAATATGAATGGAGTTGTCGTCTATTTCAGAGTGAAGAAATGTTTCACCGAAACCTATAATGTCAATATGATTAGAGTCATTTAAGATGAATTCTTTAACTTCATCCAGATCATTGAAAAAGCGGTTAATGTTCAAATGACAAATTTTTAATCCTTTTTTTAAAGTTAGGAAGGGGGATACTACAGTATTAGTAAACGACCTACCTGGGAATAACGAAGAAGAGTTATTATCAATCTTCGCTGATGACAGTACACTTGATTCAGAGTCAAGTCCATATAGTATGAAATATTCGAACTGGATGTATTATGGTTTACAATTTTCGAGGATGAATCCTGATTAATGAATAATCGCCTATGAATATCATTAACAGAAGAATTAGAACATACATTATTACCAATAGAGAGACTAGATGACGGGAATGATGTATTTATCTAAAGTCTTGGCCACTATCCTAGTAATTGAAGCCATAATCAAAGTTTTTGTTGTATTTACAGACATTTGACTTATGACCTCGTAAACCACAAGTATAGCAATAGACTGGGTTTTTATGAGTGCCTCCACAATTATAGCACTTAGGGAGTGACCTAACACTGGGTTTACATTTAAAAATGGAAACAAACTTGTCATATGTTTCCAATAGTTTTTGGGTGCCTTCATCTGTCAAGTGAATTCTATCCTTCCAGAATAGATTAGTCATCAACATAGCAATCAACTTCCTTTTATGTACATTACAAACAATCAATATTTTCCTATCGTAAATTCCATTCATGTGCAGTAACATACCACAATCACCAGCTTATGTAGTTTACATTTCACAACTCATCCACTATGCTAGGGCTTGTTGTCTGTATGGAGATTTCTTAGCTAGAGGTCGAGTATTAACTTTGAAATTGCTGAATCATGGATACTTGACACACAAACTTCATATGTCATGTAGGAAATTTTATGGTCGTTCTGCAGAACTCCTTTATAAATACAATGAATCTACTTGAACATTTTGGCTGATTCGTTTGGCTGGGCTTAATTGATTTGGTTGTATCTCAAGGAGGCCAATACTATAATATTTTTTACCCTTGAATTTGCCATGCTTTGGATGAGATTTTGATTGACGGAATTGTCTTGCTTGTACGGATTGTTTATTACTACACCTGTCATCCATAATCATAATCACATCAACAAAACCACAAAGTTTTGAATAAGTTTTTCAGCACTTACGAAGGTAAGCTACAAGGTCACTGTTAAGATTATGTGTAGTCATCTAAAGAATATAAAAAGATGTCCAGTCCGAAAAATTACGAATTTAATGCTCGGTCCCCATGACTGTTGAGGCTGATAAAAGACTAAGAGAGTGACTGATAACATCAACTTTGTTAAGGGACTAATGACACAACCAAAACTGAGACAGGGAATAATAGCATAAGGAAGGCCGAGAAAGTTACTGATAACACATCCCAGTTAAGATAGGGACTGATAACACAACCAAGTTAAGATAGGGACTGATAACACAACCCAGTTAAGATAGGGACTGATAACACAACCAAGTTAAGATAGGGACTGATAACACAACCCAGTTAAGATAGGGACTGATAACACAACCCAGTTAAGATAGGGACTGATAACACAACCCAGTTAAGATAGGGACTGATAACACAACCCAGTTAAGATAGGGACTGATAACCTGTAACTGAGACAGGGAATACTAACATAAGGAAGACGAGAGAGTGACTGATAACACAACCAAGCTAAGACAGAGACTGATAACACATCCCAGTTAAGATAGGGACTGATAACACAGCCAAAACTGAGACAGGGAATACTAACATAAGTAAGGCCGTGAAAGTGACTGATAACACAACCAAGTTAAGATAGGGACTGATAACACATCCCAGTTAAGATAGGGACTGATAACATATCCCACATCCCAGTTAAGATAGGGACTGTTAACACAACCCAGTTAAGATAGGGACTGATAACACAACTAAAACTGAGACAGGGAATAATAACATAAAGAAGACAGAGAGAGAGTTACTGATAACACAACCAAGTTAAGATAGGGACTGTCATAGAATATCATTTTATTACCATATTAATCATTTAAATTTAAATATATGTCGTTTCGTAAATTTAATTTTTCGCTTCCGTCAAAGTTTGGCAATTTGTACGATCATTGTTTTATTCATGTTAATGGCTGGATTTTGACACAATTGAAAAATACTTTATTTTATATTTTTTATATAATATAACTTGTGCTCAATAATGAGCTTTCGTGTTTTGTTGACCATAAGAATTGTTTCAACGTGTATTTTGAACTCATCGTTTGCATTCCGTAACATCTTTTTCAATCAATGGACAATCCAGTAAGAAGAATTTATCGTTTTTATTCTATCGACAATAGAAAACGTGGTGGTGAGTTATCTCCCGCTTTGGACATATAGTGACGTCATCTTTGTTTATATTGAATACTTGGTTGTTTTCATCGTATATCACCGTTTTACAACTGAAGTTACATTCCTTATAAACATTGTATCACAAAGTATAGCCCTTTATCGTATATCAGCGTGCTATATTGCTGCATTAACCCAGGATGTCGTTTGAAACTCCACGCACTGTCAGAGAAGCTAAAATGCTTCGCGGAAACGCCAAGAGAAAAATAACCAATTTCGTTAAAGATGGACTCTCCCTTTTACAGTCGGACGAAGGGATTCCCTGTGATGAATATAAACTCTTAGCCGATATGATCCGAGAACATTTAGACACATTACAAGTAACAATTGATCATGTAATTAAATTCAAATTTGAAGAACTAAAGGTTGCTGAATATAAATCCGAAGAAGACTTAGATAACGCTGAACAAGAGATAGCCATGATTGAACAGGCACATTTCTGTGAAGCTCAAGACAACGCAATGCCAATCGTTCGTGATTTAATACGTTGTGCTAAACGACTACTAGACGCTGAATCACCTACTATTCAACCCCAGATCAACCGATCCAACCAACCCGTATCGTCACATGCTCGACTAGCCAAAATTAAGTTTGCTACCTTTTCTGGAGATTTGCGAGACTACAAATTATTTAAGAAACAATTTCTTCACTATTCACAGCATTTAGATGAAATTGAATGTTTTTACCAATTAGTGGAATCAATGGAGAAAGTCAGAGAAAAGAATAAAATAAAATCTTGTATTAGTACGACTAAAGCATTTTAGATGAATTTTATGGGGATGATGATCAAATCGTAGAAACTTTACTTGGAGATTTAGAGAGAATGACTTCATATGATACGAAAGGACATATTAATATATCTGCAATGGAAAAGTTCGTTGAAGCTCTTCAAAACTTTGAGTCGCAAATGGATTCTTTAGGGAAATCAGCAGATCTGAATGGACGAGTTCTTGTCTCACAAGTTCGAAGAAAACTCCCAGAAGAGCATCGTATATCATACCTAAAATGTGTTAGAGATGAAGGTTTAGAAGACACTCTGTTTGGACTCGTCAGATGGCTACATTCACAACTAGTTCTTCTGAAGAAAGCTAAAGGTTCAATTGATTCATCAGATAATCATAAATCATTATTCTTATAAGCCCCAGAAAACTCACATCAATAAATCATCGAATGTCTCAACGATGTCCCTTGGTGCTACAAATAATTCAAAGAATTTTAATAGAGACACTCCGAGACGTGGTTATAACGTGGAACAAGGTACAACTGATCGTCAACCAAAATGTCCCTTACACCCACAAAATAACAACCATTATTTAAAGGGATGTAATAAATTTAAAACACTTTCTCAAAAGGAGAAATTTGAAATTATGAACACAAATAGTATATGTCATCGATGTGGACATAATAATTGTGTCGCCGGTAAACCACCTTATGATTATGAACAATGTCAGTTTATCCAACCTTGTCAAATACCAACTTGTGGAGCCGAAACTCATTTCTCATCAGTTTGTCCTCGAGTGTATGGAAACGAAGGTTACAACCATTTTGACAAAAATCAACGCTCTTTTAAAGAATCCAACGAACAGACTACTTCAAAGAAATCCAATTCATTAACAATTTTGCCAAAGATAATCAATACGGACACTGTATCAAATTTCTATCAGAATTTCAGCTGTATTACCTTAAATTTGGATCCACCAAGATTCCAGTTCGTATTTTGTTAGACTCTGGAAGTCAGCTATCACTGGTACGGAAAGGGTTAATAAAGAAATTTGATGGTCAAACACAAGACTTTAAAATAACTACTGTTGGTGGTGCGACTAAGACCCACAGACTTCGTGTTGTAGATTGTGATATTGAGAGCTTAGATGAAGCATTTACGAGAAAAGTTCAATTAATTGAAATGGATAAACCTTGTGGAGAGATACCGATAGTGACCAATTCGCAGATTAAACAATATTCACATATGGAAAATACTGAAATTGAACAAGCTTCCAGTGAAACAATAGACATTCTACTTGGAGTCGAAAATGGAGATTTACTTACCTCAGAGCAATATTTAATAGGCCCTAACGAGGATGATCCTATCGCAGTTAAATGTCCTTTAGGATGGTATGTTCAAGGAGGTCGATATAACGAAAAACCTAAAAATAACATTATGAACTTTACGCAAGTTTCTGCCGTAAGTGAAATTGAAGATTTTCTCGGCATCGAACGTATGGGAATTGAACCTCGACGTTGCAAATGTGCAATTGACGCCGAAGAGAAATCAGCTACCAAACAGATGCAGAATAGCGTTACTAGATTAGAAGATGGTATTTATCAGATTAACTTACCCTGGAAGAAATCGCCGTTAGAATTACCAAATAATTACGATTATGCTGTCAAACGTTTAATGAATTTGGAGAAACAGTTTCAAAACCGTCCACGTGGATGGGAAATTTATTGCAAACAAATGGATGATTAAGTTTCTAGAGGTGTTGCACGAGAAGTTCCACAATATGAATTGCATACTGATAATGCTAATGGTACAAAAATGTGGTTTTTCAGAGATTCAGAGACTACGCCAGTTCGAGTTGTTTATGGTGGTAAAGCTAGATTCCAAGGTCACTCTTTAAATGATTATTTAGCCAAAGGTCATAATATGAATGTAGATTTATTTGATATAGCTTTACGATTCCGTGAATATGAAGTTGGTGTTATTGCTGACATTAGTAAAATGTTTCAAGCTGTAAAGATGGCACCCGACGATGCTCGCTTTCACCGTTATTTATTTCGTAAGCATCCAGAAGACCCAATCAACGTGTACGAATTAACAACCGTTACATTTGGAGATAAACCGTCACCTGCTGCAGCCATTATTGCCTTACGTCACGTTGCTGCTGAAAACGCTCCTGATGATCCTGAAATTCAGCGAACCGTTAACAATCAATTCTATGTCGACGATCTCACAGATTCGCAAAGGTTAACTGATGAAGCTCAACGATTAAAATCTAATCTTACTTCTACCTTAGAAAAAGGAAATTTTAAAATTCGCAAATGGTTATCCAACGATGTTACCTCAGTACTTGGTACCAGATGGAATTTAAAGACAGACTCTCTCAGTGTAAAAGAAGTTTTATTTAAAGATTTTGTCCTACAAAACGTAATATTCTCAAGATGACTGCTTCGTATTACGACGTTTATGGTTTGTTATCTGGAATATTAGTACGACCGAAAATACTTTTACAACAATTATGGCAGTATGACATTAACTGGGATGATCCGATTCACCCTAATAGTGATTTATATATTATGTTCAATAAGATCAAGAAAGATCTTCAAGATGTGTATTCAATCAAAATCAAACGCTGTTTAATTCCTGAGAAATTTCAAGGACAATCTAAACTACCTAAAATGTCGCTTCATGGTTTTAGTGATGCCTCGGAAGATGCAATGGGCATAGGAGTTTGGATGAGATGGTCCAATGAAGACGAATCAAATGCCGAGTTGACATTTGTTTGTGCTAAAGCTAGACTTACGCCTTTGAAGCAATCGAGTATACCACGCAAAGAACTGCAAGCTATTCTGTTGTTATCCCGACTGATGTTAGTTGTTATCAACGCTTTAAGACTTAAAATCGAATACGTTAAAATGTGGACTGATAGTATGACAACAATAAGCTGGCTACGAGGTCAATCAAAATCTTTTCGATCTTGTTGCTTATCGTGTTGGTGGAATTACAACAGATTTTGACCCGTACAAAGATGTATCGTATGTTCCTACTGATCAGAATATTATCGACTTAGTATCAAGAGGAGTACAAGCCAGTGAAATGAAACGAGTTCCTTCAGAGAGCAGATAACACTTGGCCTGTAACACCTACTTACATTCCAGTCAACAGTGAAGATGTTGAATTGAAGAAATTCCACGTGAGAAATGCAAAAGTTTTAGCTGTCAGAATTGGAAATATCGTTCCAATAGTTGATCCGAAACAATATTCTAGTTGGACAAAATTAGTAATGGTAACTGCTAGAATTTTATCTTTAAAATATAAACCTAAAAGTAGATGGTTGAAAGATTTAACCAAGACTGTAGCTCAATGGCCTTCATATAAACAAATTAAAGAAGCTGAATTATACTGGATACGATTCGCCCAGAATGATATTAATTTTGAAGATCACAACATTATGAAGCTGGAACCCATCTACAATGATATTGATCGAGTCTACAGAGTTGGAGGACGAATAGATAAAGCTCAACTATTCTATGACATCCGACATCCTTATCTACTTCCTAAAAAACATTATGTTAGTCTACTTATAGCTCAGGAAAGACACAAACATAGTTTACATGGTGGACACCTTCGCACAGCTGCAGAAATTCGAAAACAGTTTTGGATTATTGGTGATATTAATTTATCGCGTCAAGTTGTACGAGAATGTATTGTATGTGCTCGTTATAGAAGAAAACCGATGGAACAACGCATGGCAGACTTACCGGACCTGTGAATGTTAAACTTAATAGAAATACGGTCACAAAAGGATATTGTGCTGTTTTTACTTGTGCAGTAACTAGATCTGTGCATCTTATATGTGTGCAAGACTTGCCAACCTCAGCATTCCTACAAGCACTAGAACGATGTGTTAGTATTCGTGGTATATGATAATGCTACTTGCTTTAGAGGTGCTGACAATGAAATACGTGATTTACAACTTCGACTAGATCAAGATCAAATTCGCTCTAATTGTTTAATATTTAAAATAACTTGGAAATTCGGACCACCTGCTGGACCACATCATCAAGGTGCTGTAGAAAGAATGGTACAAGAAATCAATGAAACACATGGTATCTGCTGATAAACTTAACTGTATAGAATGGGAAACAATTTTCTGTCAGATTTCCGGATTACTTAATAGTAGACCGCTTACTGCTCAATCATCCTCGCCATTAGATGAGCCCTATATTACGCCTAATCATTTCCTGATTGGAAGAGATGATCTTACATCGCCACAAATACCTTGTGAAGATTATGCAGGAAATCTTAGAAAACGACGTGAACTCTGTAACCATAATATGGTGATTGGATTCTGGCGTCGTTGGATGACTAATATTCATAAACTTTCTCCTCGTCAGAAATGGTTAAATTGTAAGGATAATCTAGAGAAAAGAGACGTAGTTTTAGTTGTTGATGAGAACAATAAAAGTGGAAAATGGAAATTAGCAGAAATTATAGAAATTTATATTGAAGATGATAATTTGGTTAGAATAGTTGATTGTTCAATTTTGAAGCGTCCAGTTACCAAACTCATTTTACTGATGAAACATAGTGAAAGAAAAGACATTTAAAAACGATTAGAATGTGTTACTTTTTCGATCACAAAGTAGTGACTTTTTCTTTAGTTTAAGCGAACTTTTAATTATGTATAATCGTTAAATCGATATTCCTATCGATGTGATGTCCCCTGGGCTGCCATAGAATATCATTTTATTACCATTTAAATTTAAATATATGTCGTTTCGTAAATTTAATTTTTCGCTTCCGTCAAAGTTTGGCAATTTGTACGATCATTGTTTTATTCATGTTAATGGCTGGATTTTGACACGATTGAAAAATACTTTATTTTATATTTTTTATATAATATAACTTGTGCTCAATAATATCAGAACAAATGAACTTTCGTGTTTTGTTGACCATAAGAATTGTTTCAACGTGAACTCATCGTTTGCATTCCGTTGATAACAGAACCCAGTTAAGATAGGGATTGATAACACAACCCAGTTAAGATAGGGACTGATAACACAACCCAGTTAAGATAGGGACTGATAACACAACCCAGTTAAGATAGGGACTGATAATACAACCCAGTTAAGATAGGGACTGATAACACAACTAAAACTGAGACAGGGAATAATAACATAAAGAAGAGAGAGAGAGTTACTGATAACACAACCAAACCTGGAACAGCGAATAATAATATAAGGAAAACCAAGAGAGTAAATGATAACACGACCAAAATTAACACAGGGAAAGATATTATAAAGCAGAAAGAGACAGTGACAAATACCACAACCAAACTTAAGTTATTATCAAAACAAACTAATTGAAGGAGTGACCCACAAACAAACAATACCACAACCCAAACTGAAAATTTATGA